ACTCTTCCCACAGGTCAGCGTGGAAGTTTTGGTAGAGTACCCTTTTTTTGTGTTTGGACAGGGCTGGTCATCCTGCTGTCCGGAGAGAACCAGCCAGCTCTTTGATTTGCCGTGTTCCAAACTCTCCGTCGGGGACGTCTGCATCTCGCTTACCCTCAAGAACCTGAAGAACGGCTCTGTTAAAAAGGGCCAGCCCGTGGATCCTGCCAGCGTCCTGCTGAAGCACGCAAAGACCGACGGCCTCGCGGGCAGTAGACACAGGTATGCCGAGCAGGAAAACGGAATCAATCAGGGAAGTGCCCAGATGCTCTCCGAGAACGGCGAACTGAAGTTTCCGGAAAAAATAGGATTGCCTGCAGCGCCCTTGCTCACCAAAATAGAACCCAGCAAGCCCGCAGCAACGAGGAAGAGGAGGTGGTCGGCGCCGGAGACCCGCAAACTGGAGAAGTCAGAAGATGAGCCACCTTTGACTCTTCCTAAGCCTTCTCTGATTCCTCAGGAGGTTAAGATTTGCATTGAAGGCCGGTCTAATGTAGGCAAGTAGAGGCAGTGTGGGGAAAAGAAAGTTGGCTCTCCCTTACCATTTGTATCCAGATTACTGTACTGTAGGCTAAATAACACAGTATTTACATGTTATCCTCTTACTTTAGGTTTCTGTTATAACCTTGTCATTAGAGTTACAGCTGGGTTGCCAGGAGACTGGTGCATATGCTTTTTCCACGTGGGTCTGTCAGTGGCGGGGGGCCAGGGCAGGGCCAGTCCAGGCTCCGGGCATCCTGGTAGAAATGAATGTGGCTTCAAGCGCCTGCCTTTTCTAGCAGCACAGAAGCATCCACTGGGCGCTGACTTCCGCTGGTTTCACGGGGAAGTTCTGCGGGAAGCGCACTGCAGGGGATGCGTGCGTGCGTGCATGTGTGCGTGCGTGGGGGGCACGGATGCCGCAGTGAGTGTGGGTCTCTCTCTCTCTCTGCCTCCCTCTGTCTCACTCTCTTGCTCTCAGCACGGGATTGGAGGTCCAGAGGAATGTCCTCATGGACACGTGCAAAAGAAACACCAGGAACCCAGCTTCAGGGCATCATAGAGAGGCATCCGACGGCAGATGGAAAGCTAACCGTGTAAAAAACATTTTTTTCCAACATATTTTACAATAAAAGCAACTTTTAATCACATAGATATATATTTCCCCCTATGGGGCCTGACTGCACTGATATTTTTTTTAAAACAGCAACTGCCACACGTGGGATTTCGTTTCTGCTTAACTAGTGCAGTGATGTCTCCAGGGTGTCGTGGTGGGCGGGGCAGCCCCTGCTGGCATCGCTCCACGTGGAGGTGATGGGCGGCCGCGGTAGGGGAGAGTGAACACCCACTCTGGTTTCTGTGCAGTGTTAGGAAAACTAATCAGGTTGACTTCGCTCCCAAGAGATAGACACAAACTGCCCTTCAGAGAGAGCCGCGGAAGCTCTTCGCATTGGGTTTGCAAATCTTTTGTCTTTTAACTCTAGTACTGTTTCTAGCTCATGACTATGGACAATTCGGGTGCCACTTTTTTCAGATTCCAGTGTGACGTGAGGAATTAGATTTTGAAGATGAGCATATATATTACTATCTCTAAACACTTAAAATGCTGTTCACACTTTATTACCAAGCATCTTGGTCTATCATTCAACAAGTACTGTATCTCACTTTAAACTCTTTGGGAAGAAAAACAGAAAACTAAGTTGCTTTCTTTTTTTCAACACTGTAACTACATTTCAGCTCTGCAGAGTTTCTCACGAGCAAGATATTGAAAGTTTCAATGTGGTTTAAAGGGATGAATGTGAATTATGAACTAGTATGTGACAATGAATGACACCAAGTACAGCCTGACAGGGGGCACTTTTCACTTTGATGTCTGACAAAGGATTAAAGGCATATGCAGAGCTGGCAGAGAAACTGAGAGAAAAGGGATGGAAAAAAGAATACTCATTTTTGTCCAGTGTTTTTCTTTTTAAGATGAACTTTTAAAGAACCTTGCGATTTGCACATGTTGAGTTTATAATTTGTGTGATAGTCCTGCAGTTTTTATCCAATAACATTGTGGGAAAGGTTTGGGGGACTGAACGAGCATAAATAAATGTAGCAAAATTACTTTCTAACTTGCCTAAACTCTAGGCCATTTTATAAGGTTATGTTCCTTTCAGAATTCATTTTGGTCTTTCTACCACATCTGTCACAAAAACCAGGTCTTAGCAGGACAACTCTGAGAATTTTCTTCAGATTCATTGAGAGAGTTTTCCATAAAGACATTTATATATGTGAGCAAGTTTTTTTAAAAAACAATTACTTTATTGTTGTTGTTATTGTTATTTTCCAAATGACTTTTTTTCTTTTTCCATCTGAAATCAAATCAAGATTTAAGGTTTGGTACAAACCCAGAAAGGGTATTTCATAGTTTAAACCTTTCATTCCCAGACATCTGAAATTGTTTGTGGGTTTTCAGTGTGCATCTTAAAGTGCTTTTAAAAGAAAGCTTTATAAGTAGGGAGAAGTTTTTAAATGTTCTTACTTGGAATGGCTGCAACTAATCTGAACAAATATTTATCTGATTTTTTTTTTTTTTTACCATTGAAAATAGTACTTCTCCCATTCACAAATTAAAAAAAAAAAAAAATCTGACGTCAACCCACAGTTTGGCTATCTAGTATTCTTTCATTTTTAGTTTTCACCAGAACTCATGATTTTTATAAGCCATTTTCTGGGGTGTACCAAAAACATATGACTAGACTTAGAATAGCTAGAACCAGTCTTTGACTGTCTTCAGATTTCATTACCCTCCCAGCGCACTAGCAGAGAGCTGGGTGGGCCCATTCTTGCAATCATCCTGCTTATTCAATGCTGTATTTTTTTAAGCGTTTCTGTTCAGAGAACTTGCTTAATCTTCCATATATTCTGCTCAGGGCACTTGCAATTACTAGGTTTTGTTTTTCTTTTTGTCTGGTAACCTTTGATGGTAAGAGGAATACGGGGCTGCCATACAGACTTTGTCCTCATTAGTACCACTCTTTACAGCAACTCACGTGGACTCAAACCACACACCACCGTTTGGCTTACTTCGAGTATTCAACTAACTGGATCCACAAAACCAACACTAAAATGAGAAAACATACATGGTTTGGAGCAATAGGAACATCATCATAATTTTTGTGCTTCTGTTTCAGGTATAGGAATTATAAGATAATTGGTTCTCTCTAAACATTGTCCATTTCATTCCCTCGCTTTTTTAGCATGTGCAATACTTTCCATGCCAATAGAGTCTGATCAGTGTGCTCTAGTTAAAGCTCAGACCCTTTTGGCTTTTTCCTTGTTTGGTCCACCTTCCCTGGTCTGGCCAGAGAAGGGCTGGAGGGAAGGAGCCAGAAAGGGACGAGCCGCTTCGGGCTGCGAGTTCCGCTGCCATGGATGCTGAGTGCTGGGGCGGGGAGCCTGCAGGAGCCCCAGGTGTCTGTCGCTGCTGCAGAAAGAGCAAGCAAAGGAGATCTAGGGGAAGAGGTGCGGTTCCCCCTGTCACCTGTCGCCGTGAGGAATAGTGAATGTGGAGTGCGGAGGGGAAGGAGGCAGTCATTGCTAAGGCGCACTCTGGAGCAAGATCCAGGATCAACCTATGGTCCACGGTCTTTTCCTCGAGCAGGCAGGCCCCTCCTCAGGTCTGTGTCCTTGAGACTTGAGCCGTGCCCCTGAGCCTGGGCAGGAAGTGTGGCCTGATGTGTGCATGTGCTCTGAGCATGCCGTCTTGTGGCCGTGTAGGGGCGCCGCCTGCGAAAAGCGGTCACCGCTCCGTTGTGGCAGCTTTCTCTTCTTCCAATAGGAGGAACATCCAGAGGACAGGGAACCGCCCTTGTTTGCAGACATTGGCGAACCCCGAGGCTCCCAGAGCAGCCTTTGTCACCGCTCCTGTGTAGCAAACATAACAATGACAGGCATAGAAATTCTTCGGTGCCGTGCAGCTCACGAGGACCAGCCGCGTGCCTCTGTACTATGTCCACCTTGCAATATTTACTGACAGCTGTCTTTAGTTTTTCTTTCTTTCCTGTTTTCCATTTTTAAACTAATAACAGCAGGCCTTTTGCGTTTACAATGGAACACAATCACCAAGAAATTAGTCAGGGCGAAAAGAAAAAACATAATAATAAGAAACCAACAAACAAGAACCTCTCTTTATAGGGATTTCTAAATATATAAAATGACTGTTCCTTAGAATGTTTAACTTAAGAATTATTTCAGTTTGTGTGGGCCACACTGAGGGGTGGGGGGATACAGAGATGGATGCCACTTACCTCAAATCTTTGAAAGTGGAAATCGGATTTGCATTTTCATTTGGACTTTCAGGATAATTTTCTATGTCGGTCAATTTTTTTGTTTTCTCCAACCCACCCAGTTTGGTTTGGGATGATTTGATTTTCTTCGTTGCTGGTGTCGATCCCGTTTCTAAACTCTGAATTGTGACCCTATATGTTTTCTGTGAGGTGAGTGTGTTGGGTTTTCTCCCCCACCAGGAAGTGGCAGCATCCCCCTTCTCCCCTCCAAGGAACTCTGCGGAACCTTCCACACCTCTTACTCAGGGACGGGGCTGGCGTGTGTGTGGTACACTGATGTGTCCAGAAGCAGCACTTTGCTGTGGAGTAGGGTTGTACAACTTCCAGGAATGTTTGGATTTCCTGCATCGTGTGGATTACTCCTTCGATCCTGCATAGATTGCAATATAATGCTGCATGTTCGTGACGAACAGTGGCTCCTAGTCATCCTAAAATCCACTCTTTGCACATAGTTTGATCTTTACTGAAATACGTTGCCAAAATTTATTTTTGTTGTTGTAGCTTTGGGAAATTTGTTTGTTTGTTTGTTTTTTAAGGAAACAATTGACAATACCCTTTAACATCTGTGACTACTAAGGAAAACCTATTTCTTTCATAGAAAAATCTCCAATGCTTTTGAAGACACTAATGCCATGCTATTTCAGATATGGGTGAAGAAGCGGAGCTCTCGGGACAGAAGGCCAGGCTTTTTGAGCTGTGTTGGTTGTCACGGTTCCTGTTTCGTGAACCACAAGCAGCTCAACAAACTGTGGTCTGTGTTCTCTCCTAAAACCCTTTGCACTTCCCACTTCCTAGTCACCCGCGACGATTCCAGGTGAAAAAAAGGGCCGGCCGTCTCCGTGGCCCAATCCAGCTTCTTCGGTGGTGATGTGAAAGGAAAGGGAATTATGCTTTTTATTTTTTAAAGTGGAGTGGAGGCCTTTGCCTCCACTTTTGTACTTTCAACCCAGAATTTCTGAAGTAGAGAATTTAAGAACACATCAAGTAATAAATAAATAAATATACAGAGAATATACTTTTTTATAAAGCACATGCATATGCTCTTGTGTTGGGTCGGTTTCCTCTCTTTTCCACGGACCGTGTTGTGTTTCTGTTAATAGGGAAACTCCAAACAATTTGCACACCTCTACTCCGGAACTGAGATTTCTTTGACATAGATGACCTCGCTTCAAATATGTTACCTTACTGATAGGATCTTTTCCTGTAGCACTCTATCTTGTGGGAATATTTTTTTTTTTTCCTTTTTAATGTACACCTAATTTGAGAAACTGAAGAAAAAAAAAATTTTGAAGCACTCACTTTGAGGAGTACAGGTAATGTTTTAAAAAATTGCACAAAAGAAAAATGAATGTCGAAATGATTCATTCAGTGTTTGAAAGACATGGATCTGTTGAAACAATGAGTTTCATAACTTGTTTGTAAAAAACAAAACGCATAAAGTTTGAAAGTTACATGTTTTTTTGTATATAGAAATTTGTCATGTCTAAATGATCAGATTTGTATGGTTATGGCCTGGAAGAATTAGTACGTAAGGGGCTCTTTAACTGTGCCCAGGCTTCCTTTACCTTTGTGTTACATACAGCGCTCTTCTGAGGGAGGGCACCTGTATTCTGCAATTTGAGAATACTCTTCATTCCTATGCTGAAAGTACTTCTCTGAGCTCCCTTCTTAGTTTAAACTCTTAAGCCATTGCAATTCCTTTTTCTTCAGAGATGACGTCTGACATTTTCAACACTTCCTGTTCCAATAAACCCAAAGAATATAATCCTGAACAAGAAGTGTTTGTAACATGGGATCCTAGCTACCAGTAAAACAGGACTCATTATGAGGACAAAAAAAAAAAAAAAAAAAGTTCAGCCTTCTTTCCCCCCACACCTCATTTAAATGGGGGGGGCGTAAAACATGAATTTCAATTCAAATGCCTCATTTTAGTTTGATTTTGATTTTTTTCTTTGATAGTAAGAGGCCAAAATAAATGTGGACTAACTCCTCAGAAGAGTCACATTCTGTCCAAAAATCAAGCCAGCCAGCGGAAACTGGACAGCTGTGGGGATATTCGGCGGAGCCCCAACAATTCTTAAATTCAGAATCTCAGCCCCTCCCTTACGATTAAATGCAGTGTTTCTGGTGGCTGACATTCACCTGTGCAACGGCGGGAGGGAACAGTGGCTTGGTTTTTCATGTCCTCTTGATTTGCGTACAGATGGTTCGGCTGTATTAAAATTAAGTGCATTTGGCCAATAGGTAGTATCTATCCAATAACAGTCTCTTAGGAATTTCCGTAACTTTTCTTATCTGAAAGGACTCAAGTCTTCCACGGCAGACAATTGGAGACTTCACCCAAGTTTTCTTTCTCTTTAAGTTCGTTTGCTGTCTGGACGGCCAATGAGCCTGTCTCCTTTTCCATGGCCAGTCTGAAGGCCTCCATTGGAAGCGTTGTTTACAGTCATTCTTGCCCAGATAACATACTGTCCTCCAGAATATCGAGTCTGAGGTGACATTAGCTGAGGGCTGTGGTCTTTAAAGAGCAGTCACCAAGAAGCTGGGTGCGTAGGTTTCCTCGGGGTCTTACACGAGACCCAGGAGTGGGGTAAATTCTTTCAGTCAGTGAACATTCAACTTGATACCTGTGCACTTGGTTCTGTGACTACTGCCCTTGTGGGGAGATTTCTTCCTCCCCAGCCATTACTGCTCACTTGGAAACCCAAATTAGCGTCAGCTGAAAAGGAGGTTTCACTAGAGCCCGACCAGTATTCGTGGTGGCCTTCGTTAAGACAGCTAGCCACTGGATCCTGGCCCCCGAGCCATCTCTGAGATTCGTACCATTGGATGTTTTAATATCAGATTGTTACCCACCAAACTTGCAATTTTATGCCTCCCACCAGCCAAGGGAAAAGAGACACCAGAACTTTGAGGGCACTATCAATCAGACTGACATGACCAGTACAGAGGAGAACTAGGGAAGGAATGATATTTTGCACCTTATTGAAAAGAAAATTTTAAGTGCATACATAGTTAAGAGCTTTTATTGTGACAGGAGAACTTTTTTCCATATGCGTGCATACTCTCTGTAATTCCAGTGTAAAATATTGTACTTGCACTAGCTTTTTTAAAACAAATATTAAAAAAAAGGAAGAATTCATATTCTATTTTCTAATCGTGGTGTGTCTATTTGTAGGATACACTCGAGTCTGTTTATTGAATTTTATGGTCCCTTTCTTTGATGGTGCTTGCAGGTTTTCTAGGTAGAAATTATTTCATTATTATAATAAAACAATGTTTGATTCAAAATTTGAACAAAATTGTTTTAAATAAATTGTCTGTATACCAGTACAAGTTTATTGTTTCAGTATACTCGTACTAATAAAAATAACAGTGCCAATTGCAAAATGTGTCCTTGCCTTGTGTCAGGTCCTCGAACAAAGAGGAGGCTGAGAAGATGGTGACAATTCTTCCTTCTTACCCCCACTGCGGTCAGTGCGTAGGTTTGTGGTGGAGTGACATCTGGCATTGCTTTTACTACCAAATTATTTTTTTTGGCAGAGGGAGGGTTGGTTGTGCTTGAGGTGCGGTTCTGAGCAAAAAGGCACATTTCCACGTCTGATGTCTTGGCTGGTTCGGTTCATGTTTCTTTCTCTTATCGGAACACCAGTTTACAAGAGATATTTGTTTCTAGACAGCGCTTGGCGGCTTCAGGGCTCATGGAGCATCACTACGATGTGTACAGTTTTGCTGTGAACTGGCTAGTAGTCTGAAGGTGCAAAGTTCACATTTCCTGTAGTTCATGCCTGTTGCAACTCAAGGAGCGAGGGTCTCCCAGGGGGCAGAGGGGCCCATTTGTCGCAAGAATACTGCACCACAGGTCTGCACTGTGCCCAGTCTCAGAAAGATGTGGCTTAGCAGCTGCCCCAGAAAGTAATTCAAGAACCCGTGCCTTTTGGGTGACCTCTCCTGCCCCCATCTGCCTACATGACTACCAAATCCTTCCAGCCTGAGGTCTGCAGAGGCAGAAGAGAACTCTGGTGCTGAATTCAGAGTTTTCGCCTAGCCCAGGAAGGGCTGGGGAACTCCTTTCCTTTTACTGTCTCCCTGGTCAGGTGTTTGGGGACATCTCACTAGGACTCTCCTCTCAGGACTTGAGTCGAGGTCCTGACGCATCGTCAGTGTCAGTGTGAAAGAATGTGCACTAAACCAGCAGCAATTAGGTGAGCCTTGGAGCCACAAGGGCTGCCCCAGGCTGCCGCCTCCTCCGATCTCCAGAGCAATCTGGGCGGACATGCCGCATGCTGGGGGTAGGTCTGGGGAAGCAATCGGAACTGCCTCCTTCCTGTTTTGTTTCAGTATGAGGTAATAATGGTTCTGACAAGTCTGGGGTCCAGTGGATGTGAGACCGCAAATGGTCAGACTGATTAGGGAAAAAACCTTTGCTTCACATGCTGCAGTGGGGCAGAGCTTGAAACCATTTCAGCCCCAAGGTGAGTGGCGTCTGGTTCATTGGCACTCTCCCGTCCCCAGCCACCAACTCCTGCACAGCAGGGCCTGCGGGTCAGCCGCAGGTCTGTGCTTTCATCCCGGCATCCTGTGTGATACCTGGTCTGAGGGCGCTCCGGGGCAGGCTCCCCAGGCCCGCTGCTATCAGAGGCAGAGATGAATTAGCAAAGGCAAGGCATGAAATGGAGCCTTAGAAGGGCTGCACTGGGTGAAGCCTCTGCTTGAAAATGATCCTGACGAGCTTTTGGCTTTTACGGTAACTCAGTTTTCCCTTCCCTAAAAACTGGATGCACCAGCCTTTGGTTCACGGAAACAAAGAGGTAGTCAGTGAAGTGTTTACACAAGATGGATAAAGCAGGCAGCCATCACGGCAGGGAGGACTGCCCCGTGGAGTGCTAGAGTGAGCTGACGGGTATCCCCTTCCCTGACCACTCTGGGTGGCGCACAGGAGCCCAATCTGGGAAAGGGGACACTGGTGACCCGCCAGCCAAAGTAGAAGGACGGAGAAGGGCACCATCCCAAAGTTCCCTCACTACTGCTGTACATTTTTAATGGATTTCTTTAGGTCCTTCTTTCCTTCACCTCTTGCCCTCATTTTGCAATAAGGAACCTCTTAAAACTAACAAACCTAATGGGACCGGCCCAGCAGCGCAAGTTCACGTTCCACTGGGGCAGCCCGGGGTTCACCAGTTCGGATCCTGGGTGTGGACCTACACATTGCTCATCAAGCCATGCTGTGGCAGGCGTCCTACATATAAAGTAGAGGAAGATGGGCATGGATGTTAGCTCAGGGCCAGTCTTCCTCAGCAAAAGGAGGAGGTTTGGGTGCAGATGTTAGCTCAGGGCTAATGTTCCTCAAAAAAAACACTAACAAACTTAAGGGCTTGAGTGTAAAACCCATCTTCCACAGGAACAGCATAGGGCTCACCCCTCACATGGAGAGACAGAAAAAGTGGGTCCTTCAGCAAATGCCACATCTTAACATTACACATCCTCTTGACCCTCATATCTCAAAAGTGTAGCCACTCGTGTTTCTACAAGAATTGTTCTTAATGGCTTTAGGGGGAAAAGTATTACAACAGAGTTAGTTTCTGGATCTTTAAATGTGTTCTTATAAGACTGAAAATGAACCTGTGATTTCCCAGTGTGATGGTTTGGTTGGATTCTTCATATGATGTCAGTCACCATGGACATCAGGCAATTAATTCACTTTCATACAGGAGGACCATGTGGCCCTTCTCTACTCCAGGGACACCACTTGCCTTTTCAAAGAAAATTTACTCCTGTATCTGCTTCTTTAGCTTTGTTTAGAAATAAACACAGTCATGTGCCACAAAATGACATTTCAGTCAACAACAGACCATATGTAGGATGGTGGTCCCATAAGATTAGTACCATACAGCCTAGGTGTGTAGTGGCTATACCATCCTGGTTTGTGTAAGTCACCCTGTGATGTTCGCATAATGATGCAATTGCCTAAACACGTTTCTCAGAATGTATCCCCGTCATTAAGTGCCGCGTGACTGTAAACATCCTGGTCTGCATACACTTCCCAGTCCTATTACTCAAGTGAGGCTCCAAAAGAAGTGGCCAGTCATCAATAATTGATCTGTGTTCACTATTTAAATAAGTGTCATAGTGGACTGCTGTAGGATCCTGCCAAGGCCGTGGGTCCTTTCTTCAAGAAAATATTGTTACCAGTCAGTGAAGTGATGGATTGACCATTATACAGTAGTACCATCTGGTCCTTCCTTGAAAGCATTAATTGCAAAGACAAGGGAACGGTTCTAACTCATAGTTTAAACCCATGCCTTTTAGGAAGTCACTGGTCAAGGTGTTTTTTTTTTTTCAGTAGGACACTGCCTGCTAATTTTCTGGTGGATAACCTTTCAATAAAACATCCCATGGAATTTCAAAATAATGTGTAATCTCTTTGAGAGGCCAGCCCTGACAAATTGGGACTGGGAAGGGAAGGGGTAGAGATAGAGGAAAGCAAAACTAAATGAAAAACCAGGACAAGGACAGGGACAGCCTCCCAGAAGGAACACCAAACTGGCAGTGACAGATGACCTGTTCCCAAAAGGCACCTGTAACAAAGACGGTAAAAACATGTCACCACAACCTTGTGCAGATCTGTGGGAAAACAATTCTTCATCTGTCCAGCCAATTGCTTTTGTTCTTTTCCAGCAACTGAAAGCTGGAGAGAGAGGATGCCAGTTACTCTAACTGGCCTCGCCTCCCCTTCCCTCCTGAGGTGCCCTGATGGCTAAGAGCCAAGAGTGGCTCACTACTAGCCTGTCTGGGAAGGAGATAGAAAACCCCCAGCCGCTCCTACCACTTGGTTCCTGCAAATGCAAATGCCAGCACTCACACAAGTCTTAAGATAATAGCATTATATTAAAGTGAAACCATTTTCTTTTTAAAAAAGAAAGAAAAAGGTACGAGTGTTGGTTTTAACAATGTGGTTATGAGTTCCAGGCCCTGCTTCTGGGCCCCCAGAAGGCACCAGGGGGAGCCCCAAGGCCCCCAGGCGGCAGGAGGGGGAGGAAGAGGCAGCATTCCACCATTCAGGAGCAGCCGGAAGCTCTGATGGAACAGAAGGAAGGAGACGGGAAAGCAGGTGTGTACGGAAGCTTCCATGAGCCAGACGTCACCTCGTCCTCAAGGCTAGCAGAACATGGTGCTCTGCTGCTGGGTCACCCGGATGAACGTCGCCCTCCTGCTGAGCTCTTTCAGCTTGGCGGCTCCCACGTAGGTGCAGGTAGACCTCAGACCCCCGAGAATATCCAGAATAGTGTTTTCAACACCCCCTTTGTAAGGTACTTCTACAGTCTTGCCCTCTGAGGCTCTGGAAGAAAAAGGAAGTTTTTCTTTTAATCTAGTTCTTCTTCCTTAAGAACTCAGCCAGAATTATTCCCAGCTTTCACACTTTGAGCAGCCCCAAGGCACTCAGGGAGCTAAATGCCACCCTCTGACCCCACGCCCACATTGCTGCAATACCAGGCTGATCGTGCCGGTGTCTCAGATGAACGCATTCCTCCCACGCGAACAGCACGGCCTCGCTGCTGACTACCCAGAGCGACTGGGAGAGGAAACTCTCCATCAGCAACACTGAGAGAAGTCATAGACCCCCAGCATCCTGCGTGGTGACGGCAGGGTGACATTCTTCTCAGTAGCATGCCTCCACTCTGCCCCAACAGGAACCAACTCCACCTTTCTATTCTACCTGAATCCGTACACCAATCTCCAGCTCACCCAAAATGCCCAGGGGAAAGAGAACAGACCTGGAAGATTACCTCCTGAACAATCCCCACCCCCGCCTCCTCTGCTTGCCCTTCCTGATCAACAGAAAAAGCCCAGAGCTTTGCCCCCGCATGCCAGCTCTGCGATCAGACACTGTCTTCAAAGGGGATGATCAAGAGGAGGAAGAAGATCTCGATGAAATGGACAACTCAAGCTCCACTAGGTTACATGGAAACCTCTACCAGCAAGATATAGTGGCTCCAGTCACAACAGCCTGCCTGTCTTTCCAGAGGACCCTTTTTGGGGCACATTCCCCCTGCTCACCTCCCTGTGCTCGCCGAAGTCACTACACCTGTCGTCCTGGGCGTGGGGTGGGGTCCCAGCAAGGTGGGACCAGAGTAGAACTGAGGACTTTCTTAGTGTTGGAGGCTTTTCAGGGCTTTGGATAGTATCTTTCACGTTTTCAGGAGAACATTTAGAAGTTCAGAAGGTCTGGCATATGGCATGGACACTAAGCAATAGCTAACTGTCCTTGCTGAGCCACTGTCCCACTGTGCACAAGGCCACCAAGTAACGTTGCTTGATTCCACGTCACACCTCCTCACTGAAACATGGAGATACATTCCAGACTTGCTTTTGAAGGGGCATTATAAGAAGGAAATCTCAAATCTATGCAAAACTGTAGCCCTCATCTGAGGGCCAGGCAATCTGGAATTTCTAACAATTAACCAAATTCTGGAACTTTCTCTAGATGGTCTTTTCAACTGGAAAAATAGCATCTCTTGATCAAAAATTCATTACCTGGGATTTCAAAAGGGTATTAACTCTTGTACATTGAAATCTACCCTTGGGTGAAATCTAGTTACTTAAACCATCAAAAGGTTGGCCTAGTGGCTAGTTTGGAGCACGAAGCTCGCTGGCCACACCCAGATGATTCATATCACTGCACTCTGTGATCACAGACCAACATCTATGCACATATGCCTGCGATGATTGCCATCTCATTTTTTCTAAAAGATTTCCATGGCCTTCCTGGGGCTTATTGGAAATTATCCAGATTCTCATCATTGCGTCTTCGCTAACTAGTGATGGCACTCTTTGCAAGCCATTTATTGTTGATGCTCAAGTCTTCTCATCTGTAAAACGAAGGCACTTTGATCAGTCTCCCTGGGACAGCGTGAGAACTAAATGGTTAATGACTGGGAAGGAACTAGCAAAGCATAAATAACTCTGCCTTAATTAAATATAACGTCAAAGTAGGAGAACCATTCTCATGAGGAAATCATGGTGATGAGGCTGCAAACTGCCAGGGAAAGAGAAGAAGGAGGGAGGGATGTGGGAGGGAGGCAGCGAGAGACAGTGAAGTAGAGAGAACAGATGCGGCCTGCAGGGCTCAGGCTGCCTCTGGATTAAGGTTCTAATTCCTTCAGCATTTTCCTTCCTTGTCTAAGATCTGAACCTGCTTCTAGAACTGAGTCTTAATTCTCCTGAATCTTCTATTTTCTGTTTTGTCTAAACTCTGCTGCAATCACAGATGATTTTTCTTTCGGCTGCTTGGCTTCTGTTTGTGCTACAGCTGGTCTGGCCTTCCCCATCGACTTTTCTTAGAACCCAAACAGATGCACCAGCTAGAGGGCAAAAATGTACACGGGGCAAAGCTTCTAGTCACTGAATCACAATGGTTCCACTTACATATGAGCACACGGGAGACAATGCACAGCCCCTTGATGGGGACAGTGGTTGCAAGTAAAGCATTAAGCTTCTTGGCCAGAGGTCCAGGTTTGCACTGAGGCAGTAATCTCCTCCCTGTCCCTCCCCGCTGACAAACTGTGCAACCTCCTCCATCAGGTACCACATGGGATGGAGCAAGAGGCCCTTGTGAGGCTGCACGGGAAGGAGCACGCCTCTTGTTCTGACTATGTGAAGTTCCCAGGATGAAGGCATAAATGCAATCCCCTACTCCTCTTTCTCAACCTGCCTTCCCCAAACTATAGTATCATCTTTACTGAGGTTCCCTCCAAGAGAAAAAGACTGGAGAGAATGAGAACTGAAATCAGTCCACAAGTCCCCTACTAAGGAACAGAACTCTGGTAGAGTACCCCACGCCTCCCTCCTACCAGCCCGCCCGTTCATCTCAGTGGAGTTCTGAGATTTCCACCTCTAGCTTGGTTTGAATCTTATATAATGCATCTGAATCCCATGTCCTCAGAATGAGCTCTGGGTGTGGAGCGACTGATAGGAAATGGGGGGTGTCAGCCAGGGAGGGCTTGAGTTTCCATCCCAGTGCCTGAGGCTTCCTGGAAAAGGCAAGCAGCCCACTCGCAGCAGACTTCCTTCTGAGGATGCAAGACCTTCTGTCCTGTCCACTTGGTGTGGCCTGTCATCAGCACTGACTCTAATGAGAAGCAATGACAGACTCTCTGGAGCAGGGCAAGGTAGTGGATATACTGTCGTGAGGTTCTTAAAATACACATGCCGACACTTAAAATGGAAGTGAAACAGAAAAGGCCAGGTGATCTTCTGGGATCCTGGATTTCAAAAAGCCGAAGTGAGCATCCCTTCTGCAGCAAGTGACAATGAAATGATTAAAGATGCTGCCTGTGTCAACGGTCAGAGCCTGGAGGCAGATGAGAGTCCTGTGTAAGCCACTGCAGGTGAAGCACGACATTCCTCAAGAAAGGCCTGACCTCCACGCAGAGGTCTAGACCACACCTGTTTCATATGCAATAGGAGACCCATTCTGCAACCCAATTCTTACAGCCTGAACTCATCCCAGGCCAGAGGTCAGAGGTTACAGGGATAGCTCAGCAACACTCTATCAGAAGGACGAGGCAAAATATTCCTGCCTACCCCTTGCAAGTCAGGAGTATCACTTCCAGGGCCAGCAGAAAAGTCACACCTGCTCACACACACCCCAGTCACATTTCCAGCTATCCCAAAACACTTCTGCTCTGCCCTTCCTTTGGAAGGGCCCAAACATTGCAAATGCTGGTTGGATAAAAATTAGGGTTATTTAAGAAGAAGCAAGATACTTTCCTAGCTCCTTCCATAGTCCTTTAACATAAACAGAATTGATTTCTTTGAGACCTCCTTCCATCCTACTTCTGTAAACATGAGGCCTCCCGGATGAGAAGCGGTGGTCTGCCCCTTACCTATACTCGGCGACGCCCCCCGCGTGCTTCTTCATCGCTGTGTCCGAGCTCATCCCATAGAAGAGCTTGAGCTTCTGCCCATTCCTCTCGATCACATCTCCAGCACACTCCGTGTGGCCTGAAAACATGCCTCCCAGCATGACAAAATCTGCACCGGCTCCTGAACGCAGAGAGTGGAGAGAAAAGGAAGCAGCAGAGAAAAGAGCTCAGAGAAAATCAGCTCTAGAAAGATCCGAGGGCCACCCCAACTCACCCTCCCTCCCCCCTGCAACAGTCAAGACAAAGCTCAACCTCTCCCCTTTTGTAAAGAGATCAGAAGGCTCCCAGACAGGGAGACGGGCACAGGACACTCAGACAAATGCAGCCTACTGAAGGCTGGTGGCTGAAACACTGGACAATCCTTTACGGTTATTAATGATTAACTGTGACCACCTCCAAACAGAGGTCTACCTCTTTTATAATCAGAGAAACATTAAGAATTGAGCAGCACCTTAGACAGCCTGTTGTCCAATCTCATACTCAATGCAACAACTCCTCTCAATGTCCCTATCGGGCATCTGGTCTACCTTAGGCTCTCGGCACTTTCACACGCTGCCTGTAAGGATGATGAAAAGACCTCAGAACAGACTGAACTTTCTACACTACAAGCAAAGGAGAGAAACCCATGTAAATACAGACATATATATGTGTATACATGTCATATTAACTGTACCTGCACCTCTGTTGTAATGAATATTAGAGTTCCAGAGTAAATAATATCCCATATTAATAAGCGAACGACATGAAATTTCCAGGACAGGTACAGAGGAGACTGGATACCGAAGCTGCCTTTGTCAGCTAGGTTAGAACAGCTGGGACAGCTGGGCTGGCTCACTGCTGTGTCCTCAGTGTGTATCACAGTGCACGGAACATGGTAGATGTGAAATAACCAGTTGTCAAGAAAGTACAAGGCGTACGTGGAAGAAACAGAAAGAGTCACCATCGCCCATCGTGTTCATGGATAATCGTGCAGAGAGACTCTCTATTAAGTAAGAAACTGCTACAAGTCAGTCCCACGGAGGGTTGACATTTAAAAGCCAAGGCTATCAGGGTATGGATGTATTAAGTAATTAGAATGAAGGGCAAGGAGGGGCCCACATAGGAAGCCCTGAAATGTGGCCTTGAACTCATCGGTCCGCTCATTTAAATCTTGACAAGAGGATTTTGGGGTGTGTCAGGTATTACAGTCCCTTCTGTTCAGCATTTCCGAAAAGCAGGTTCAGCAGGGCTGGCCCCGTGGCCTGGCACTCAGGCAAGCGAGGCACAACAGGACCTGTCTACTTGGCAGCAAGCTTTGCAGAGCCTTCCTTCCAGGGTCCCTAACAGGAATGCTGGATTCTGGCTCCCCGCCATGATTTTAAGGGGGCAGAAGATAACTGGTTTCCAGCCAGGCTTCCTGATGACCACAGCGCCAGGAGCAGCCCCCATGGGTGGCTGCTGCGGAGCACATGTCAACAGCAGGAACACAGAGCACAGATCCACTCAAACAGGGCTTTGAAGTGGCTTCCAAGGATTTTCATTTCTGAACACCCTCACGTCCCTTCCTAAGCAGCATTTTCCCTAACACGGTCCCTCTCCCTTCCCTGAGCCTCTGCTCAGGCATGGCTGGACTTACTAGGAGAGTGGAGGAGGGAAGGATGCCAGAGCGTGATTCCAAAGGCCAGGAACCACGCCCAGGATCTGTCACCTATGAGGCAGCTTCTTAAGGACTAGTCACTTTCTAGTGTACTCAGCTCCCACTCTGTGCAGGGAGCACTAAGATGGAACACTCATCAGTATTAAGTAGCTGCAGCTCAAAATCAATAGTCAAAGTGTCCTTGGCTGATGACCATTATAATAAGGAGTGAGTGTACTAGTGTATCAGGAGTCCTGAGTTCTCCCTGCTCTGCCCCAACTGTGGGACCCTGACCTTGTCACTTGCCCCTTGGGGCTTCAGTCCCCTGGACATTCTCCAGGGTTGCTGCAAAACCCAGCTGCCAAGAACACCGCCCCACGTTTCCCTTTTGTCACTATCAGTGTTTTGTTTAAAAAAAAAAAAAAAAGAAAGAAAGAAAAAGCAACTAATGCCTAGGCCCAAAAGAGTCCATGGGACGAACTCTTGAAACAGCGATGAAGAAACACGTGGGAAGAGTTGCTGAATATGGGTAAAGGGAAGAGCCACTGGCGTCCCTTAGGAAGGCCTCAGACAGAAAGTTTCCCTCCACCAAAAATGAAAAAGTAAGTCAACAGCAAACTTGGCCCTGGCATCAGGAAAGGAAGGTGGAGCCTTCGTTTCCGTCTCCTGTGGCACACACAGCTCCCACTTCAGTCTGGAGTGCCCAGCTGGGAAGCCAGCTCTGACTTCTGAACGAAGTTTGCAGAGAGTGAGTGGTGGGCACGGGACCCAGCTTGTTGAGATGCTGGATCCCCTAGTGCTTTCCCAAGAAAACCCAGGACACGCGGCTGGGGCCAGCGGCGTCAGCACCACAGGCTCATGGCCAGACACTGCTGCCCCCTAGTGGGAAAAAGGCTCCTCAGCCTCTGGTGAGAAACTGCTGCTGGGACTCCTGTCCTTCCTACGGGATTTCCCCAAGTTAGGCCCCAAAGACCCTGGCTGAAGTTCCTGCGCATCAGACCTGGTACTGTCTCTTCCACAAGTACCTGAGCCACGACTTCACCCCTTCCTGGCTTGCAGGATGTCACCCTTAGATCTATCCTTGGGTACTCAGTCTGCTCTGCTACCAAACAGAACCAAACTGATGCCAAGATTTGGGCCAAGTGGGCCTGGAAGCCAGGGAGAGGAAACTCAGGACTGGCACAGAACCTCCCCGACAGGTTCCCACCTCGTTCCCACCCCATAGCCAGTGCGCAGGGGAGGGGAGCTCCCCCCACCTCCCCGCCCCCTGCACCCACGGCTCCTCACCAAAGGCTTTGGCGACATCTCCTGGACACGTGCAGCCTCCATCCTTCAAAGAGGAAAGAGCAAAGAGAGAATGTCAGCGGGAGCTCAGCCAGGCTATCCCTCTCTCCTGGGGTGATCTGGTGAATGGGAGCTGACACGCCCACCCCAAGCCCCCAGCCCAGCACACAACCCTCAGAGCCAAAGCCCCAAGACTCCCCTCAACATGGCACCTTCCGTTCCCCATCCCCATCCGTGCTGTTTCAGGCCGGCACTGCCCACTGCCTGCCCACCCACCTGGTATCAGTGGGAAGCAGGAGGCAGCAGGAGCTGCTGAGTGGGCAGAGGGGCTCCAACCTCAGCTTCCGCCAGCCCCTTATACAACACGCCTGGCCACTGAGCCTGCCACATTCATTCTCATTCAGTAGTCACCTCTCCCCCTAGTCTGGTGGGAGGTGAGATTCATTTAGTACAAGAGCTGAATTATTTTAAGAGCCGGAAGGACACTGAGTTAGTTCCTTTATATTCCCAGCCACTCCATGGATCTCCTAATCACCCTCATGCAATGTACCCAGTTACCTTAAAGTCAAACACGTATTCCTGACACCCACTTTGCCCATACAGGGTGCCCACCTGAGGCTGGTTTAATGCCTAGCAGAACAGTCTGTCATCTTGGGCCGCCTGGCTCAGTTCAGCCGGGGGCGTTATGTTTAAACACCAGCGACACAGTACAAGGTTTCCAGGCTACAGAGCTCACTGCACTTCCTCCAAACACAAAAGGCACAAGAGGACCAGGCTGCTACCTGCTGTGTGCAATGTGGCCTGTGTGAGGTCCAAGGAGGAAAAGGACAGTGAGGGCAGCCTGGACCCAACAGGGAGACCCAACAGGGGGACGCAGAGTCAGGACTCAGGGCTGGTGAAACGGGACAGAGCCCAGTGTGCAGTGTGGGTCTCAGAGAAAGACCAACGTCTCAGAGGGAAGCACCTGTCCCCAGAAGGTGGGACACACTTTGGGAAGGACACAGAAAACACAAGCCACCCAGGCTCCAGTGCATTGTAACTGGCAGGGGCTGCATGCACCTCCGGCGTTGGAGGGCGTCGACATGGAAGTGAGATGGACCACTTTACAAATAGCATCTCCCACTGAGAACACGGGGTCTCTGTGAGGTAATCCTTTCTTTTTCTATCTGCTTTTTAGGCCTGTCACTCCAGGAGCTAGAACTCAAATACTGCTTCATCACTTCTTTGCAGTTCTGATCAAAAGGTAGGTGTGAAGGCTCCATCTCTTTCTTCCGTGAATATTTCCTGCCTGCAATTATTTCCTCAATCAAGTGTGTCAATCATGTGTGGCTTCCCTGACCCCCAGAGGGCCACGGGGCAGTGAGGAATGATTATTCCAGAGGTGGTCTCTCCACAGAAGGTGTCTGGCCAAAGCCCTCCATGCGAAGAGAGTTAACAGGGCTTCGCGGCTCTATATATCTTGTTAGCGCCTCAAAGCTCCAGCATATTTACTGTCTCTTTCAAAGGTACAACCGCTATATGTGCCCCTCACTTGTCCTGCCAATTATTTTTAAAGTGCTTTATCTCTTTATCAAAAACAGTTCTACACAATAGGGTTTCAAATTTATAACCTCAAAAGATTAAATAAACTCATGTTCCCATTAAAACAGGTCCCTAAGATTATAACCCTGCCCCCCCCCAAAAAAAACATACACACACTCCTTAAGTCTTTTGCTCACTCGCTTATGCGTAAATAGCTCATGCCTTCTACATGTCTTGTGTGGGGTCTTGAAAATTCCCCATGACTGTGGTCCATGATGAGGCCTGACTCGGAAGGCCGGTGCTTCTGGGACCCCGAGAAAACGAGCTCCTCTCTTCCCAGGATGGGCTAAGATGTCCACAGCTACTAGGACTTTATGATGTGCTGCTGAGAGGAAATCGGACTCACGGCCTCATCTGCTCACACTGTGCCTGGGTCTGCATTTATGAAACAGACAGCACAGACCAAACAAGCTGGACCACACCTTTCCAACCCGGTGCAATCTAACGTCCCAGCATGCTTCAGGGCAAAGGGGTCTGCTCCCTACCACCATTACAGGTCATTCCCAAAAGTTGTTCGTAGCATCCTTTCACCTTCCAGGAGCAGAGCAGAAGGGGCAAACCTCCGCCCTCTAAAACATACATTTACTTTCATGTAGAAACATTCATGGCTGCTGGGAGTTTTTAAAAAACAGCGTGCAAATATTCAAAGGGTTATTTGTTTTGCTTTTCAAGACTGTTACTATATTTAAGTAGAAAAGGCATCACATGGCATGAGTGGTGATTCAATCTATGAATTGTCAGCATACCCCTTCTTAAAAATACTTGCTCAAAGCAGCATGGAGTAGGCAGAGGGAATTCGAATCAAGCACCTACTATGAGCCAAGGATTGTTACAAACTTCATTTTTCTATTCACACACCTCAAGAACTTCAAGGCGATATTTTACAGGTAGGGAGAAAAAAGAGGGAGGCTCAGAAAAGCTGAGTGACTTGCCCAAGGTCATACAACTTTAACAATGAAAGAACAAGATTAGAATCCTGGTTAAGCATAAACTCTAAAATCTAGAAGCATACTTACCAAAACATTAGCAGCAGTTATCTTAAGATGATGGCATTTCTAGTAATCTTTATTTTCTTTATGTTTATTTGTATCTTCTGACTTTTTCTAGACTAAATCTATTTGATTGGGGAATTTTTCAAGGCTCAAAAAAATTAAATTATTTGAATGAATTTGTTTAGATATTTCTAAATAATGATCTAACTGTTCCTAAAGCACATTAGAATCAAAAAAATTATAGGAAATGTGCTGATCCCTCTTTACTCCTTTGCAGAGGGTCAGTGAGCGGATGAGAGCACTCCTGGCTGGGTGGAGAGGAGGAGCAACTGGGGATAACATCAAGATTAACAGCCGCTCACTATGCAGGGCCTCCGCAAACTTACAAGCATGCTCTCCGGGTCTTCATAAAATGCACGGATTACTATGTTGGAGCTTGAGTGAACAAGAGATGACAGTGAGCCGAGCCACAGGACTCATCATGGGAGTTTTTTTAGGTCCTATGAAGCACCACAAAGTCCAAGCCATTTCTGGTTATCAGTGAACAATGAACTTGTCTAGTTGTTCAAATCCCTCCTGTTCGGATGGCCCAGCAGGTACTGACTCTCCTCTCTCCACTGGAAGACATGCTTGGGGCAGGGACCAGCGATAACAACAGACAAAGCTGGAGTCTCCCAAAGCGATGTGGTAGGAAAACGAGTGGATCCTGTGCCAACCCAGCATTCTCTGCGACTTCAGCAAGCCCTTCACCTCCTGAGTCTCCTCATCCTCTAAATGAGGGTGCTCAAGGGAAGGAGAGGAACACCGGAGATAAACAGACCGCAGTGTGAGTGCTGGCTCGGCCCCCTACCAGCAGTGTGATGCTCAACAACTCACTCAAGATCTCGAAGCTTCAGTGCCTCACCTGCTGTGAGGGTTAGTTTTGTGTGTCAACTTGACTAGGCCACAGACTGCCTAGATATTTGGCCAAAAATTCGTCTGCGTGTTTCTGTGAGGGCGTTTTTGGATGAGATGAACATGTGAATTGGCAGACTGAGTAAAGCCAATTGCCCTCCCTAATGGGGTGGGCCTCATATAATCAGTTGAAGCCTTGTGAGGAACAAAAATGCTGACCCACCCTGAGCGAGATAATTTTTCCTAACCCGCTGCCTTTTAACCGGGAAATGTGCTTTTTCCTGCCTTCTGACTCCAAGTGAAACATCACCGGCTCTTTCTGGTTCTCCGGTCTTCAGACTCAGACCAGAACTACTCCATCGATCCTCCCAGGTCTCCAGCTTACCAACTCACCCTGCAGATCCTGGGACTTCTTGCCTCCATAATCACATGAACCAATTCCTTATCAGGAATCTCTCTTTCTCCACACACATCCACACATCCTATTGGTTCTGCTTCTCTAGAGAACCCTGAGTAATACACCTGTCAAATGAAGACAACAGCTCCCTTGTCAGGTGGTTCCAAGGCTGAGAGACTAAATGTATATTGTGCCTGGCAGAAAGATGCTCAATAAATGACAGCCATTATTTCCTCTAAAGCTGTTCCCACCTTTAAAATTCTCTCCTTCGTTATGTCCCTAGCAGATGACAAGACAGAATTAACTGGTCGCACCTTAATCTTCACCTACACAGGGGGTGCCCTGAATTTTTCGGCTCTCTGCCTGTCAGAAGCCCATGTGGGCCACAACAGAAGCCTGATTCAAGCCCAGCCTCTTGGGTATAAGCACCTGCTGAACACACTCCATGCTGTGGCTTCCTTCTGAACTTCAACGGCACGGACGTGCTAATTCAGCAACTGAAGTGTAAAATGAGACACCTGGAAGGGAACTGGACAAAGTAGCTGGATCCAAAACATCTGATGGACTTCCAGCGGGTTTAGGACTACTGGCAAGTGGAAGAAACTGCTTGCGAAACTCCATTAGACAAAGAGACAAAGGTTTCCGGGAAACGGCTGCTTTGAACCCCAAGACGCTCAGCTGGTTAGAAGGAAGTCAAGAGCTGACTTCCTATATAAGTCTGTGAACTTCACTTGGTCCTCTGGCTACAAATTGAACTTCTAACCCCATCTAGGAAATCTCGCCATGAATAGAAAAATAAGAACCTCCGAGCATCAGTACCACAAGCCTGGCTGTCACTGTCCCTACTAACAGATTCAGAGTTGGTCCTGGGGCACCAGCAGATGAGACCTGGCTCTGGAAGACCGGGCCTGCCTCATACGCTGAGCCTTTACCATAGCAGCCCGTGGTTCTCAACTTTGAGAGCACATCAGCATGACCTGGAGGGCTTGATAAAACAGACTCCTGGGCCTCACCTTCTGCATCTGAGTCAGCAGATCTAGGATGAGGCCCCCAAATTCCTAGTAAGTTCTCAGTTGATACAGCGACCGGTCAGGGCACCAGACTCGGCGAACTGCTGAAATGAGCTAAAAACTAGGTGCGCTGTGTCAAAAGATCCCAAAGTGATTTCCAATGAGCCACCTGTGCAGTAAGCAGAGCCTCCACCCCTCCTCTACAAATGATCCCGTAAACTAAGCAAGTGTGAGTTTTCCAGAAGGACGCAGGTATGGGATCTCAGAAAATGTTCACAGTAAAACTGTTAATTTGACCTCCACTGATTTGGAAATGGTGGCCATTCAAGGAATATATAAATCTAATGTGTATCTCTCTCTAAATTCTGATTAAGACTCTTGATGGTGAACACTATCAGGTAACAGAGATTTATGACTAATTACGTATGCTGCTTTTGGGGGCCAACCTCTAAAGAGTCTAATTTGCTAGGATGGGGTCCAGGAATGTTGATTTTAAAAAGCTTCCTTGGTGACTCTCATGTAGCCAGCCCAAGACAAGGTGAGGTAAGCATCCAAGAACCAGGAGCATGCTGGAGAATGGTACTGTTTGGTGACTCCAGTCAGTGGAATCACCTCACTCAGCAAATGCAGGATGCTGACTTTATGTCAGCCTTTTACACACCACTTGTTCAATAAATGGGTGTTCATTTGTTCACAGGGGAAAAAGCTAAAGGAAAGGGTATTGAGTGGAGAGCCTTAGAACTCCGTCAGCAACCAGTAAATCTGCAATCATTTATTCCAGCTTCTAGCACATAGTAGATGCTCAATAAATGCTGACTGACTGGATGGTGGATGAAAACCACGGATGAAGATCAGAAGGAGCACAGGAAATCTGCACGAGCCTGCAAGTCAAGGACCTAGAACCTAGCTTCCATTGTTACCTTAAAGTCCCATTCGGTGAAGCAACGGCTGCAGGGCCCAAACGCTGGAGTAAAACTCCAACGAGATAATGTGCATGTCGGGATTTTATTATTCTACCCTCAAAGCAGGTCCAGAAGTCAAACCTTAGCAGGCTGAAATGGTGAGCCAAAATCAACAAGATACCATTCCACAGGGGTATGTAATTGACTGCATTTGGATTTTTTAAAAAATATCAATTATTTAATGTGGGAGTTTGGCTTAGCAGTTGTACATGTGAAATGGTTCGAAGATTAAGTTTACTATATTCAATATGAGTCTATTGATATGAAACCACTAAAAACGTCACTACTTCACAATTTGCAAAAAAAAAAATATATATGTGTGTGTGTGTGTGTGTGTTGTGTGTGTACAGTGTGTATGTGTGTATATACATATATCATCCACGTAAGTGGAAGCCATGGTTCTACCTGGGTCTACTCAATTACATCTGACATGGTCTGTCCTGCTCTGAGCATCTCATCTAGGAGGAGATAGACATGATAAGTCTCTTCAACTGTCTGAATGGTGGTCACGTCGATAAAGGTAGAGCAGAATTACAGATAAACAGTTTTAACTTGACGTTCACTCAATCCTTAAGTTGAAGTGGCTAAGTACTGCAGTGCTGTTCTTCCAGGAACCTCATGAAAGTGTCAGGTCACTGTCTATGCTCCTCCTCATTTTCTTCTCAGACATTTCTCAACCCACAAAAATCTAACTTCTGCCCCCAACATGCCACTGAATCTGCTCTATCTGACACCACTGCAGACATGAACAGCCAAAATGAGGTCATCCTGGAGCAGGGTGGCCTCTAATCCAATATGACTGATGTTCCTAGAAAAAGAAGAAACTCGGACACAAAGACAGGCACATGCACAGGGAGGATGTCATGTGAAAACTGGAGTTATGGTGCCACAAGCCAAGGAACCACCAGAAGCTCAGGAGGCCTGGACCAGAGCCTTCCCTAGTGTCTACGTAGCCCTGCTGACACCTGGATCTCAAACTTCTGGCCTCCAGAACTGTCAGACAATATGTTTCTCTTGTTTAAGTCACCCAGTTTGGGGTACTTTGTTACGGCAGCCCTAGCAAACTAGTACACGGCCCTCTCATTTTCTCAAAGCTCCCCACATTATCCCCCATCAAGCTACCTACCACCTTGAGTTGTTATTGACTAGAGTTATTGACTAATGTGCCGGCCGCCCTCACCACAGAGTAAGTGGGAGAAGGGCCTGCGTCTCTGCCAAATGTCACTGCTGGGACCACAGTGCCCGGCTCACTTCCAAGCCCACAGGATGCCGACGGGATGAAAGGCAGCCAGGGAGCAGAGATCCTCCCCAACCTCCCCCCATCCCCCCCCCCCCGCAACTCCCCGCTCAGAGACTTACGGAGATGATATGCCCCTTCAGGCCATGGGCAGAGTCTGCGCACTCGATCACAGCACTCAGCTGGGGGTAGCCCACGCCCGTCTTGGTGCGGGTAGTACACACAGAACCTGGCATGGAGGAAAAAGTGGACCCCAAAGAGAGATGGTTATGAATGAGCAGAACGTGACACAAAATGACCCTCCATCACCATCACATAGCCCTGCCCCAATTTCCTGGGGGTAAACTTTCCATGGCAGATGAGAGTTCGGAGGGGAGGGGCTGCCCAGGAGCTCAAGAGAGTTGGTTATAACCACATCCCCGTCCACACATCCCTTCAGGTCCTCATCACCATCATCTGCTGATGCCCAGGACACCATCCACCCAATGCCCGGTCACTCTCTCCTATGACATCAGCTCCCACTTAAGAGTCAAGCACTGACTCTCCATGCTTATATTCTTTTCCACTTTCCTTCCCTTTTCCACGCAACCACACTATACTTCAAGGGACCTCTCAAATTCCTCCCACGGGCTCGAGCCTTCTTTACCTTCAACTTTCGTCAAATTCTAACTTCTCTATGCCTCACTGCCTCACCTGTGAAATGGAAATAAAAACACTGACCTCATGGGGTTCTAGTGGAGATTAAGCAGCACAAGGGATGAAAATCGGTTGGCCTGCAGTAATCCTTCGAGAAAAGGGAGCCGGCACTAACCGTATTCCCGCACCCTCACTCATGTCCTCCACATGCCCCAGCCTCTTGTTCCTCATCAGCTCAGTCCATCTCCCACCCAGTCCAGAGTCCCGTCCAGCCTGGACTCTGAGGTCAGCCTCCATTTCAGGACTGCACCGGCCTCCTAGACAACTTCATCCCCTTGACCTCTGCCCTTGCCTTGGTCCACTCCAGTCCTGGTTGACGGTGTGCAGAGTATTACCCGAGTGAGGACCAATGTCATGCCAACAGCACTGGCAGCTCCAGCACGTCCCCTCACTCAAGTCTCACTCCTCTCTCCCAGCAAGTGAGCACCCCTGCACCCTGAGGTCACCTAGATCAAGCTCCTGAATGTCCCCCTGCTACCCGCTCTCCCACCTTCTCTTCTTTCTCCCTGCTTAACTAGCTCCAGCCACGCTAACCTTTCAGTTCCCCCGTCAGAGTTCTTCCCACCTTAGGGATCCTCTGTACATGATGTACTTTCTGTCTGCACACTCCCCTCTGTACCAACCCCATGGTACATTCATCCCTTTCTCATCTTTCAGGCTTCGTCTCAAATGTCACTGCCTCAGGGAAGTTGTTCGTCACAGCACTTATTTCAAAAAGGGGCATTTAAAGAACTATTTGTGTAAGAACTGAGGATCTGTTTTCTCTGCTGGATGGCAAGCTCCGTGGATATTCATTGTTGTAGATCCAGTGCTGAGAATAGAGCCTCGTACATAATAAAACGCTATAAATAGTCATTGAAGGAATGCATGAACTCAAGCACGAGTGAGTCACCCACATCTCCGTCTCTGCTGCTTCCCCACTCATTCAGTGCCTGCTGGAGGTCTTGTGGTGTCGATTATGGGGAGCCCTGGGGCCAGTGTAAAAGCTGAGCGCCCCGGCCACCTCTCCTGCTCCCCACCACCACCACGGCCTTCACAGCTTCCCACAAATTTCCCCCAGGAATCTTCAGGAGCAGGGGCAGACAGACAACCATGTCTATACTCCCAGGCTGGCTTCAGCAGGGAAACCAGAACAGAAGGAACCCCTTCTCCTGCATCCATCCAGCTGCAGGGCAGAACCCATCTCTGTGTCCATCCTCACGACACGTGTCACCCACAATCCTGGAGTCTCCAAGCTGCCCTCCCCCCCAAGGCACCCTCGGGCCCAGCGACCAGATGTGCACTGTGCAAGGCAGAATGAGTTTCACGATCTCTGGGGCAGAAGTGGCTTTTCTCCTTCCCTCCCACTCAACCGGATCCTCGAGGGAAGACAGGGCCTCAGCCACAGGGGACTGGAGCTCTGCAGTGGTGAGGGATGACAGAGGTTTAGGGCAACCGCCTTTCTTGGAAACAACCAAGGAAGAAGTTTCAAACAAGGCATGGGAGCGATCTTAACACCCAGGCTGAAAGGAGAAATGGGGCACATATTTTCTCCCAGCTAGAGGGGCGGGGGCCCGTCTTTAATGCTTTTCCCCAGTTCCCAGGAGTTACTCAATAACGAACCTTTTCTAATGCTGTCATTTAGATATACAATGTCCAGTGTTTCGACTCTAAAGAATTTGTAGAATGTAAATATCATCTCCAATCAATTTAAAGAGGCTCTAATATGTCAGACTCAGACAGCCCTTTAAATCTCTTTAGTCACATTCTAAACAGAGTTGAGGGGCTGGGAGTGGGGGCAGGGTAGGCACACAGGAGCAGTGGAAGGACAACAGATCTCCTGAGCAAACAGATTGTGTACACAGAGGATGTGCATGATGGACACAAGTGCAGTTGAATGCTCAAGATTACGTCAAAAACAACAGAGAGCCGAGAAGGTGGCTTACACCCTTCACGTCCTGCACAGCACCCACCCAGCACAATGGCGGCTAGGAGACACTCAATACATATCTGATTAAATAGGTGACTGGTGAGTGCCCTGCTTTTGAGGGGAAGAAAAAAAAAAAGAGTCTTCCTGGTCTATTATCAGCCTATTCTGTTCTATTCCAAGCTGGTCTATTCCAGCCTATCCAAGCAGGGAGCTGCTTGTAAGCAAGAACTGGGCCTTAGCCTCTCTTTGACTTTTCAATAATGACAGACACTCAGTAAGACAATCTTTCCTCTTGCTCAGAATATGTTACAAATTGGGTTGAGGAAGTGGCAATATAAAAAGCCCAATCTCGAAACTCTCCCTGTGTGTTAAAAGCCTGGGTACTTCCACGAGCCTCCAGGGCTCCTCTTCCCTAACTGTCCCCGCAGGTACATCCTATTCCCTCAAGGCTGAAGACTGTGCCAAGTCACATCGATGCTGTCTGCCTCCCAGCAGTGCTTCCCCACAGACTCCTCTCATGCTGGTTTATGGTTTGCTTCCTTTTTTGGTAGTAGTGTCTTTTGGGTGGGTGACTTTTTATTCCCAACTGAAAATGAGTATCTTCTTTCCTTCTCCCCAGTTGTATCTGGTCAATAATGGATGGGCAAGGAAGAATTTTAACACACAGCAATAAAGAGTTTGAAAATGTGGAAGCTCGTGCTCATGGATGGCCAAAGGGGACGGCAAATACCAACAAGAGAAAATGGAGCCACCCACTATATGGATAGAAAGGCCCCACCTCATCCCTCCGGTCAAAATGCCAATGAGCAGTCTTAGGAGAGAATGGGCAAAATCTGAGATGGATCACGTATCAGGTGTGGAGCCAAAGGTAGTTAACTGCCTGGGCCATGGGTCAAGTTCAAACGTAGCCTCACTGCTGCATGCCTATTTGCAATGTTTGGGGTCCCTCAAACACTCACAGAAACTTAAGTCATTCATGTCCCTAACTGTCCCCATAGATTCTTCACCTATCACCTTCTTCTTCAAGGTATATGGGATCATCAGTGAAACCTGCATTCTTTTCTTCCACATTAATATTCTGAAACAGGACCTTCCATTCTAACCACATCCAAGCTCACTGAGAAGCTCCCCGAGGGCATCAGAAAGCAGCTGGATAACATTCTTAATCAGGACCTTCTTCAGAAGCTCAAGAATCCCTCCCAAAGAAATGTGCTTTAAACTTGTGGATGGATCATTCACGGGTTCTGTTCTGGCCATCTCCAGCACCCCTAAGCCCCAGACCCCAATCCTCTCCACATACACCCTCTGCTGTGCTCCCAGCAAGTCTTACCTGGTCCAACTCCCACTTTGATTATATCTGCTCCGGAAAGAATGAGCTCTTCCACCATCTCTCCTGTCACCACGTTCCCTGCCTGAGACAGAAAGAACACAGCTCGCGATCGTGAACTACTCCTGGTGGTACAAAGATGAATGAGTGAGGAACTCCACACCTGGACACAAGGAGTATTCCTGAAGCCACTGGGCAGCCAAGGGACAAAAAAATAAACACACAAATAAAAATGAGAGAAACACTGCATCCATTCCCTGACTCTACTCTAAGTCTGAAATTGGTGGGCCAGGGTGTCCTCCTGATTTCCTTCTCTATTGAATAGGAGCACAGAATAGGACACTTGGGGACTATATCTGGGTGAGCCGATAGCATGAGAAGCTACGGAACTATATACTTTTAGAACTCCAAGAGACCTTAGGGTACCTAGCTCAGGGCTTTTTGAACATTTCAGCGGTGAACAAAACAAAACCTTGCAGAGAATCCAAATTCATAAAATAAGCAACAAAACACTCTCTCCGCTGATTAAAATCTTTATTGTTGGGCATAAAATGCTTCACAGACTGTAAAACCCCTGAACCTCTATGGAACTCCAGGGACCAAGGATTAGGAAACCACTGCTCATCTCACAGCCAGGAAAGCATCTGGGTGTCCCACCCTGGGGTCAGAGATTCCCACCTGGATATGAACGGGCAGATGAACCCTGATGGACCAACAGCACTGGAACATGCTCAATTTCAGAACATGAAGCTATGGCCCTAAGAATAAATACAGAAGCCAGGAAGTGGCAGAATCTAAAAATCAAAAGGATGCATCTGGTTTGGAAATTGTACAAGTTCTTTCACTGCAGGAGTCTGAGAGCGTAAAAATAGCCCTTTTTATTACAACTCACTGCCCTGTGGATTCTTTAGCGGGTACATAGGATGCTTGGCAAGACGCCTGACTGAATTTTCACAACTGTGCAAAGTCTTATTTTGGGAAATGCATCCCTACTCATTCTACTCATTTTTTTTACATTGAAGTCCCAGTGTATTTTCACGGAATTGATTCCCAGAGGGAATTCTTCTTTTTTAACTTAGACAAAGTGACTTTGTATAAAGGATCTTGGAAAAGGGTGATGAGGGGGCTCAAAGCTGTTTTAACCCAAACAGCATCTGACAAAAGAAAATAACAGACGGCCCAGGAAGAGGACTAGAACATTTGTGCGACATTGTGATTTATAAGAAATACGTACATTTGATGATTCACATAACCAAAATATATTTCTCATATATATTTAGTGTTCACCCACAGTTCCTGGCTCACAGCTCTCAAAACCCTTGGAATTTCCTGAGCAATAAGAGCGATGGGAACATCTTTTGTTGTATTTGGTCCTGTCCTCAACTCCCAAAAACCTTCAGAGCCATAAACGTGAAATGGGTTTCTTGTTATTCATAACAAGCCCCTTTCCACCACCTCCAGGTGGAGGGTGGGCGAGCTTCCAGATTGAGGAACCAGGGCTTCCACAAGCCTCGGTGCTGAGCTTGGAGGACAGAAGCTCCTTTGTTCGGGATGTCATCCTTCCTCTCTCTTCACCTGGCTGTTGATTCGTATCCTTCAACAGCCTTTGTAATGAACCGGTAACCTAGTGTGTTAAACAGGTTTTCCTGAATTCTGTGAGCTGTTCTAGCAAATTAATCGAACCCAAGGAGGGGGTTGTGGGAACCTCTAATTTATAGCCAGTAGGTCAGAAGTACAGGTGACAACCTGGGCTTGCAACTGGTGTCTGAAGTGGAGAGTGATCTTGTGGGACTGAGCCCTTGACCTGGGGAACCTGATACGATCTCCCAGTAGATGTCATTGTTGAACACCCTGCTGGTGTCCCCATGAGGTTACATCTTGATAAACTCATCATAAGCTGAAAACATTGTTAAGTCAAAAATGCATTTAATACATTAAGCCTATGGAAGATCTTAGCTGAGCTTACCGAAAGCAGGCTCAGAACACTTACATTAGCCTACAGTTGGGTAAAGTCAGCTAATGCAAACCCTGCTTTCTGATATAGCGTGAAGATCTCATGCAATTTATTGAATCCTGTACTGAAAGTGAAAAACAGAATGGTCGGATGGGTAGAGAGTGGCCATTTACCCTGGTGATCATATGTGGTCGACTGGGAGCTGCGGCTCACTGCACAGCATCATGAGTATCACTGGCATATCGCTAGCCTGGCAAAAGAGTAAAATCTGAAATTCGAAGCAAAGTTTATCCTGAACACCTATCGCTTCTGCACCATCTCAAAGTCAGAAAATTCTAAGTCAGGGATGGTCTGTACATGATAAAGGTGGTATTACAAGTCAGTGAGGAAAGGAACGATATTTCAACAGACAGGGCTAGGAAAAGGCATCTTTTGGAAACAAGACATAGACTATCACTCATACTTTTCACCAGAAGAAGCTTCAGGTGGATTACAGAGTTAAAGTAAAAGTTGTATCCCCCCAAACTCAGAAGAAAACCTTGAATCCTTGTAATAGCATAACAGTGAAAGAAACAGAATGATAGATCTCTCCAAATGAACATAAAAAACTCATGTAAGTATATCACACATACTCATATAAGCAACAAAATTAAGAGGCAAATAACCTGGTGGAGAAAAATGCCTGCCATTATGACACCGGGTGACTAACAGTAAAACAGAGCTCGTCTGGATGTACAAGAAAAATGCCAGCCCCCTCAGAACTTGCCAAATGACATGAACAAGCGAAGAAACAGAAGTGGCCAATAAAAAGTGTTTAACCTCATTCATAATCAAATTAACATACCAGTGAGGTACTACTTTTCACTTAACAAATTATCAGTGATTATAAACACTAAATGCTAAAGAGAAAACACACTCTCTTTCTCTGCTGGTGGAATGTCTATTTTAGGACAAGTTTTCCTACAAAGCAATTTGCCCATATAGAAGAAATACAAAAATATGTATATCCAATAAATCTACTTCCAGGATTCTCTCCCAAGGAAATAATCACAGACGAGGTCAAAGGATTTAACTAAAGAATGCGTTATTTACAACAGCGCAAAAGTGAAAATATATTCCCCCATATGGGAAGGGTTCAACAATCTATGGCCAATTCATATGATGTTTTTAAGATTGGTTTGATGGCATGGGAAAATGCCTAAATGCTTTCAGCATGATGTTAGGGGAAACAGAAGGAAACAGTAAGATCTCAATTTTATTAAAACAATCACATGTGTATACGAAAAAATACACCAAAATGCCGACAAATTATGTCTACCTGAAGGAAGTGTTTGATTTTTATTAATTTCCTTCTTTACAATTTTCTGGATTTTACAGCAGAAACTGCATCACTTTTAGAATTAAATATGATGGCTTTTAGTTGGGGGTTTGTTTGTTTGTTTTTTAAAGCACGAGGACCAGCAGGAACTCTGCAACCAAGAAAGAACTTAAAAAGAACCTGAGAAACAAGACTCCGAGTGCATTCTTCCTGACTGGCTGATCTGCTAGATATTAAAAATTTATTTCAAAAATTAATTAAAATTCACATAAATTTAAAAATTTAAAATCATAAAGAAGCTACTGTAGGCTCCCTACAGAGTTTCATTTTCGATGTAGATTTTTTTCCCCCCTCAATCTGGTGCTGCCTACAAATCATTTTATTTTAAAGGGCCTACTTTATACGAAATAAATTAATTCAAGTCAGCTCATGATGGACGAACCAGGTACAACCACAGACGATCAAAGGCAGTTTAAAAGCATGGAGGAGGTGGCATTATTTCGCTAGCCCAGAGGCCTCCACAGGGGTCCCTGTCTCCCCTTCAGCTGCCTGTGTGGCTCCTTAACCACTGGTTAGGTGGTGGTCACTGCCAAGGGTGGAAAAAGCCAGAACGATCACGAAGTGCCTCAAGCAGGAGGACAATGAAAGAATGCTGACAACTGAGAGAGGACAGGACGGGTGAATTTCCACTTGCAGGAACACAAAGAGCTGTCTATACAAGTTTGCAGCCAAGGGCAAAAATAAGGAGAAAAAGGAAAAGATACAGTCACAAAGGAGAATGAGAACAGGAGTAGGGTCAGCCTCCAGGAAAAGGGCCAGCCCACCATGGAAGCAGCTCCAGGCAGGGGTGTGAGGCGGTGGGTGGGTCAGGCGAGTGGTTGGGCCTGCAGCACCTCCTGTGCGGCGGGCCGGAGACTGGATGGTCTGAACTGAGCGCACCCAGCAGCACATCCTGCTCAGGCAGTTCGTGCCCGGCCACTTCTCAGGCAGCCACGACAAAACGGAAGCTACCGACCCTCACCTGGGCACCAAAGCAGCTGGGTGGAAACTTCCGCTAGGCACACCCCTCCCCAGGGAGACCGAGCACCATCCAGGCCCCTCCAGGCTCTGCCAGCAGCCAACACTCCTCCTCGCCAAGGAGAGGTGTGGGCACCCAGGGAAAAAGACATAAAAAGCGACAAAACTGAGTACTTTTACACCGTTTTAAAAAGTCCTCTGGGCAAAAATCAAAACTGTTTTGCCCCGATTTTTCCCGCTTTCCTGCAGACCCGGACACATACGGTAAAATAAGTTCAGAAAGGTGGAGGGTAGAATGACGGGCCTCACACTTACTGTGTAATTTTAAGAAAATCACTTCAACCCTGAGTCCCAATTTATCCCTCTATAAAATGAGACTAATCATACCCACTTGTTGTCACTGAAAGGTTTACAAAGAAAAAGTCCCAGCACAATGCCCAGCTCTCATTTGGCGCTTAGTAAAACGTGAGGGCCTTCACTTGAGAGATCTCTGTATATTCCTCTTGTACTCACTCTCCTTTTTCTTTTTTTTTTTGAGTTTTAATTATGGTCAAATACATAGAACATCAAATTTACCATTTTAACTATTCTTAAGTGTGCAGTTCAGTGGCATTACGTACACGCACACTGTGGTGCATTCATCACCACTATCCCTCTCCAGAGCTCTTCAGCATCCCAAATTGAAATTCTGCACTCATTAAACACTAACTTCTCTACCCACTTTTTACTGACTCTTGTGATGCCCTCTGCCAAGAACAATCCTTTCTAGAGAATGATTTAAGGGAGCTGTCGGCAAAGAGCAGCAGGCTGCATATGGCCAGTGGGCCAGTTTGCCAGCTCCTAATGTAGGCTGATGGACCATTAACGCTGGTGCCTTCTCTCAAGTACATAGAAGATGACCCTCTCCCTCCAAGTCAAACCAGGGAGTACGAGATGCTATCAGAGCAATAACCACCCTTCATGGCACATTAAACTGACTTTACTATGTGACTCTCAGAGACAAATATCACCCGAATCTCTGAGGCCCTTCATAGCTTCTACCACAGTCCCAGTTCACACCAGTGCCAGAAAGAGGGTGAAAACAGAAAATCCAGGTAACTCAGCCTGAGAGGTGTTGTCAGCCATAGCAAGTCCCTTGTACTTCAATGAGGCACGCTCAACTGGTAAGGCTGCCCACGACTGACACTTGCAAGGGACTGACACTTGCAAGGAACAGTGAAGCGTGTCTGCGTCTCCGGGAAGAGGTGTGGCGAGCAGGAGATATGTCCGTGTGGTTCAGGAACTTGTCTGACCATGAATGCTAGGGAAAGAAAGCAGGCAGGTGACTGAGCCACTGGCCACACATGGAAATGCCGAGGCTGTGCCCATGGCTACGTGGGAATGGGCCAACCTCGGCTGACGTGGCATTCCCCAGGGGAGCACAGCTGGACCTCCAGTGTAATCTAAACAGATTAGGTGTCAGAGACCTACCTTCTCAGGACCAGGTCAGAAAGAGCCACCAGCACAAGAGCATTTCTCAGACCCAACCTAGGGAGCCCCACATCCTATGAGCTGGCACGTGGGCTGGCTGCAGCAGGGTATAATGGGAGGATCACAGGCCCTGAGGGCAGGCTGCCTAGCTCCGAACCAGAGGCCCACCTCTTACTGGCTGTGTGATTCCCCAGAAAGTTCCTTCACCTTTCTAAGACTAAGTTGCGCATTAATAAAAGCAGGTGCTATCATTCCTATGCAAAGACTTGTTACTATTACTTTTTTTTTTAAAGATTTTATTTTTCCTTCTTCTCCCCAAAGCCCCCTGGTACACAGTTGTGTATTTTTAGTTGTGGGTCCTTCTAGTTGTGGCATGTGGGACGCCGCCTCAGCATGGCCTGAGGAGCGGTACCATGTCCGCACCCAGGATCGGAACCAACAAAACCATGGGCTCACCGAAGCAGATCGCGGAACTTAACCACTTGGCCATGGGGCTGGCCCAGACTTGTTATTAAAAGAAAAATCCCTCGTCCATGCTAGTGCCTTTTTCCCACAGTACTGAGTCTGTACCCAAGATTACATTATTCCCTTTCCTCTGAAAGTCACCAGGCAAATGGCCACAGGACTTGTTACACTCTTCTTACAGCCAGCACCTCTATAGGACCCTTTTCTGCCAAAGGTGCACACATAAATCCAGGATGTCCTGGAGTGACAAGCCCGCACTCCTGACGCAGACACCTGGAATTGCCAGCCTCTGCCGAGAACATTTCTGAGCACCCTTTCTGTTCACTACATTGTAACGATCATAATAACACTCAGCACCCACATTATACACCTTCCAGTTCCAAAACACTGGACAAAGGGTAATGCATCCCCACAATGCCTCCAAAAGGCCTAAGACAAAGTGTATTTCCAAAAATCAAGGGCCTAAGAGTACTGGAGGTTTCTGAATGAATCAGACATTTCAGGGGTCACTGCAGGCAAATGGCTCAGGAATAAACATGTATCTCGCCAAAGTCTCCTGTTCATTGCTGGGGAAACCAACAAGAACAATGAAGACACATTCCCAGGCCAGCCAGCAAGCGCTGGAGGCACTTGCTGCAGGTGCCTGCCCAGAGGGCCGTGGGAACTCTGCGCCAGTCAGTCTCCCCCTCCCAGCCCCATCCCCCATAGCAACCCCCAGGCTCTGCTCTGGCAACAACACCCTTCCCCTTCTCCTACCAGCCCGCCTCCTGCCTGCCCTGCCCCCCCTCCCCTGGTCTGCAGCCCTGAGGGGTGGAATACAGACTCTCTGGGCTCTACAACAGGCAGCTTGCCCGAGCTCTCAGCAGGGCCAGCTGGGAGCGAAAACTCATGGCCAACTGTTTGGAGCATGCAATGGAAAGCTCTGGGGCTCCAGTGGATTTCTACTATCACTATCCTTTTTAAAGGAAGTGGGACATGTCTTCTCTCTCTTCTTAAAACAAAAACAAATCACCGTCATGCCACCGCCCCTTCTTCCTCTCCATCAGCCGTCCATCTCTGACTCAGTTCTCACAGCACATCCCCTCAATGGTACTTACTACCACCGAACAACCATTTGTGAATAGTGTCATGTTTACACAACAGCAGCCCATCCTATCCCCCCAATAATTCTTCAGCCAGTATTATCCTCAACCTCCTTTGTACCCGTGAGGAAAAAGGTTCAGAAGCGATGTGACTTGCCCATTGTGACTCAGCTCATGTGTTCACACCAACTTCAGGGGCATTAAGTTGGCGATATTAACAGTGTTACAACCGGCAGCAAAGCAGAGGGGGAGGAGGGCAAGTGAGGCACCTGGGAAACGCTATTGAAGATTCGTCCCAAGAAGGACAGAATACCATACAGCCTACATAAAGCAACACGGGTGCATCTCAACATACGATTGAGCCAAAGAAGATACAAAAGATGTGCGGTTTGAGTACCATTTCGACGAGGTTCAAAAACAGGGAAATTCGAATGCCATTGTTTAGGAATGCACCAGGAGGTGGTGAAACCAGAAACACGCAAGGGAGGAAATGATCACCAGACCCGGGCTGGGGCTTGCGTCTGAGGTGGGAGAAGGGGCTTCCTGGTATAGGTAAACTGAAGGGCTGCTTATTTTATGACTGTTTATTAAACATCCATGTTGTATGCACTCTTCTGTTGGTATGTCATATTTCACAATTTAATACATGAACTACTAAAGAAAAAAAGCGGAACCCCTAAGTTGCCTCATTAAGTATAATTTCTTATTCCTAACCCGTCATAACTAATTCTTATACCCAAAAATGCCAGTAGATGGAAAGTACAACTTCCCAAGTTTATTAGTCCCTTGTATCTCCAGAGCAATTAAAACACTAGAGGTAAACTGGAAAGATCTGGAAAGGTCTAGACTCCAACATCTCAGAGAAGGAGGAAGGTGAACAGCAATCCTGGGCCTGCCTTATCTCCTGCTCTCCAGAGTGAATGAACTAAAGATTCATCTCCTAGTCAACAAATATTTGTCATGTTCTTTCTGCCAAGCAGACATTGTTTCTCAGAATTTATGTTTAATATCAAATGCTGTTTATGGGCTACCAGGTCCTGGCTGGGGGCTTCTGCTCTCCCACGAGTCCAGCTTCCTGCTCCCCCTTTCATGACAAAAAGTCACCAGAGGGTTGGGGGCAGAAAAGCCAGTTGGGGCCTCATGATGATCGCTGGGTTAAGACAAAGGGTAACTTCATCACCCTCCAGCGAGCAAGCCTGAGGGCGGTCGACCCCCCACCTCAGAACTAGGAAGCTGAAACCGGTCACACACACATCGCCTACTGGAAGATGGCAGCTTTATCACTGGAGTTAAGAAGGACGGGGCATGTTAACAAGTCTCAAGGGCCAGAGCTGAGACTTTGCCTTCAGACCACGTGGCTTCAAATTCCAGCTCTGCTGTTCAACATCAGTGTGACCTTGTGAAAATCCCAAAGTGTAACAACAAATCAGATCTTAAGATTCCTCGTCTGTGGCAAGTTTGGGACAACAGTTCCTACTCTTACAGAGATTTAAAGAAAACAAAGAACAGACATAAACCTCCTGAAATACAGTAGGGACTCAATAGACAATTCCTAATCCTTTCAGCTCATATGACTAGAAAGCATAAAAATATTTATCCTAAAAATCCTTAATGGAAGATTTAACTCTATCAATAGAAATAATTCTTGTCTCCCAACTTCTTTACAACGATGAAATGCGAGGAGAAATAAAATTCAAAGTTAAAAAAAGAAGAGTTAGGTAAATTATCTATCTAGTGGTCCATCTATAATTGTCAAGTTAATTAAGAACAGCAAAGACACACATAATATAGATTTTCCAAAAGCCCAAATTTAACCCTAGAGCTTCTATTTCTTTTTTCTGTAAATCTGCCTTTCCCAGCAATAATATACATTCTAACTAAGAAAGGTGTTAATAATTAGGAAAATACAAAAAAGGCAGAAAAATTCACAAATAAAGATTCTGGATAAAACGATATACCAAATGATTTTCAAATAATAGCTGACTATTGTGGATTTCAACTCTTCGAGCAGAGTTTTCTCCTGGTAAGCCAGGAGTGGGGCACAGATGACATAAATATGTTCAACTGAAACCTGGTTACATTGTTTTCATTTTTCAAAATATATTCTTTTTTAAAAGTGACACAGACCTTTGTTTAAAGGTATCACATCTGACGATATTTCACAGACATGAGGAGCCAACACCCTATGGTGTTGATCTGGATTTTATTTTTTATAGAGAGCCAGTGTTCAGATCTTCCAAAGCTGGTGCCTGTCCTCTTCCTAATGATTCTCAACAAGTCTTCTAATAAGAAGGCACCAAAAGCTCTGAAGAGAATAGCTCCCCCTGACACGCCGAACAACTCTCTCTTTGCTTCCACATCTAGAGAAGGTTCCACCATACCTACCATGATAGTGTGTTCTGGAAATCTGGCACGGACAAGTTTCACGAATTCCACAAAATGTTCTGAATACCCATTGGCCACATCCAGGCAAATAAACTTAACCTGCGGCACGGCTTCCAGTATGCTGCTCATCTTTTCCAGATCGTTCTCCCCACTGCCCGAACTCACGGCCACATGCTGTACCAAAATAAACCAAGAGGTGCAAGACATGAACAGTAAGGAACATTCAGAAGTCAGACCCTGCCTCCACCCATTCACCTATTCTGGGGACAGTACAATGACATTTGAGGTTTACCCTGATCAAATATACACCCAGTGGACCTGCTCAAGAAATACGCAATCTCGGAGGTAAAGGAGATTCATTTATTAAGTTACCGAAACATTGGCTCTGTTATCTTTCCCACCATTACAATGCATATATATCCCCAACCTTGGACCTCAGCCACAGACTCTTTCCAGTAAACAGATTCTGAAATATGGGAAACCTCATCCTCGGCTTTTGTTTAATTTCCTCAAGCTCTCTATGTGGAACTCTGAATCGTGGAGCTGCTCGTGCAAATTCTCCTCCTGCTGGAGAAGGGGAGGCAGGAAGAACAAGGGTGCCCAGTCAACACAGGCTTCCTCCCACCAAGGCCGTGGCTGTCACCCGGAGCATCTCGCTTGGGGAGCAGGAGGGAGTGGAAGATAATTAAAACTCCTCTGATAAAACTTCTTGTTTGCATCTTTCCTCCCAATGCAGTACTGTCACAACACGCAAATCATAAGCGGCACAAAGAGCCACAAGTCCGTGTTCCTATTAAGAGGGCAAAAGGTCCCAGGTGCAAGAACGAACAAGCCTGAAATGATCTTTCCCAAGTGTGCTTGTACATGTTTACATCTGAAGCCACCAGACCCTCCTCTGTGATGCCCTCTCCCCCAACCTCCACAGGACCAGTGCCCTCCAATCCACCCCTCTGCTCCTCTCAAAATCTGCTCTTTGGGAAGACTTGTTTTCAGTAATTTATGCCTTAGCCACACTAAGCCATGGGATCGTGCCCAGAGTCAGCATCTCACCCTTAATAAGAATATTTATATTTTAACTCCTATCTCTAAACCATAAGCCACAGATGAGGGACATAGCTTAACATCCTTTGTTATTCCCAAAAAATCACAACAATGTAGCTACAACCCAGATACTGAGTGGAGGCAGACTGGTAACACGATACGCATTTACTCCAGTTCTCTGCGCTTATTCCAGTTGTCATTCTCACGTTGACAGGCTGACCAGTGCCAGCCCAATCACACCTTCTTTCCCTCCCACTAGAGCCTTGTCACCTTTTCAATTTTCCCTTTTATTTGTTTAAGTTCAGCAGGTGCAAGTTCAGATCAGTTAGCTTCTCTCGGTGTCACTGAGTTTTTAACATTTTCCCTTTTTAATTAGCCTTTAGTTTAGTGAGAGGCAGTAAGTCAAATGATCACTCTTGGTAATGAAGGCCAGGCCTTCAATTAATATGTTGCCAAAAATTCCCATAAAGAAGTCGGAGGTATGACCAAAAAAGAGAAAAAAATCACTGCTCCCCAAACTTCTTACAGAGAAGAAGGGAATAAGGTGAAACAAGCAAAATTCACTTGAAAACAAGATGTAAAACACGAAGGACTTGCTATTGAGCCAGAATTATTTTATCTCCAAAATCACCTTCTCACTAATCAAAATCCACACATAAAACATAGCAAAAAAAGAGAAAAGGCCAGCCCAGTCACAAATGACCTGATGACGGAGGAGAGCATCTCGAAGGCAGACAGGCTTCTCTGCGGGCACTGGCGCAGAGACACCCAAATGTGCCAGGAGGAAAGTCAAGATGTTATACTGGGGCTTTTTGTTATTTTCAAACTACCTTTTTTAAAAAAACAAATAATAATGGCTTTATTGAGATATAATTACATACCATACAATTCACTCATTTAAAGTGCACAATTCAGTTGTTTTTAGTGTATTCAGAGTTGTGTGCAACCATCACCACTACCAATTTCATCACCCCAAAAAGAAACTCTCAAATCCTTCAGCCCTCACCCCCAAACCTCCCATCCCCTCAGCCTTCGGCAACCACCAATTTACTTTCTGTCTCTACAGGTTTGCCTATTCTTGACATTTCATGTAAACAGAAATCATATATGTGGCCTTTTGTGTCTGGCTTTGTCACTTAGTAAAATGTGTTTAAGATTCATCCATGCTGTAGCACAAATCAGTATTTCATTCCCTTTTACAGTTGAGTAATATTCCATTGTATGGATATACCAGATTTTGCTTATCCATTCATCAGTTGATGGACATTTGGATTATTTCTACCTTTTGGCTATTATGAATAATGCTGCTATGAACATTTGTGTACAAGTTCTTGCGTGAACATATATTTTTCTATTTGCTGAGTCTATACCTAGGAATGGAATTGCTGGTTCTTACGGTAACTCTTATGCCTAACCTTTGAGGAGCTGCCAAACTGTTTTCCAAAGCAGCTTTACCATTTTACATTCCCACAATGATACAGGAGGATTCCACTTTTTCCACATCCATGCTTGTTATTAATTACCCGCCTTTCTGATTACAGCCACCCTAGCAGGCATCTTGTTTTGAACTCCAAAACAACTTGTTATAATTAGATGCTTTTTCTACAGCCAAGAGAAATGGTCAGACTGGATCCACTTCCGGCAGGAAACAATGGTCTTCCACAGGCTCTCATGTAACACATCACCTTTCAAGGATAAAAGCAGATACTCCTTGCAGGTAAAGCTTAGTATTTTCAAAACAGGATACAGGTTTCCTTGGTAAAGCTCTGGCCATGATGACGGGCTGGGGGACACCCTGCTGTTCCCCAAGTCTCTCTCAGGACTCTGTTATGTATCTGCCGCTGATTCAAATCCTTTTGACAACCCCGAGGATTTTCTGCAACAAATGTAATTTATGACCAGGTGCAGCCATACCTGCAGGCATTCTGGATGATTAGCGGCAAAGAGCTTCCAGTCATCGAGGCTGTAATGCTTATGAATTGCTGTAAACATGGAGTGCTAGGAAACAAAACAGCAGCATTAGGACGAGAAGTCAAGTGAGCCCTCCCTCCCTTCTTCCGTCTGTGGGGGAGGGTGAGGCAACAGCACAAAAGCATCGGGTGTTCCTGCCATTCACGCTTCACTTGCTTTGAACACGCTCCGAGGAGCCAGAAATAGACAAAGGTGTAACCAGTGAAATCACAAAACTGTGTTTTCCCTTCTAATCTGAGAAGACAACCCTGCACTCAGGACTTAGGAGGCTCCACCAGGAGGCAGCAGAGGCATAAGGGGTGTTCTGAGAGCCCAGTCCCAGCTCACCACCTGAGTGAAGCCAAGAGCAGCTCAGACAGCAGGCGCCCTGCCCACAGGAGGGGTGGCCCTAAGGCCAACTTCTGCTTAGTCAACCCAAAAGGACCTCAACTTGTACCTGAAAGCCTTGCTTTGTGTTCACAACCTAAACATGGCCTACTCAAAGCTAAACCCATGAGGCAGTCGGTATTCTTGAGGGAAGGGATTACATAAATCATAGTCCTAAAACTATGACCATCAATCCGGCATCTTCGTATGCATTTCATTTACTTCTCAGAACAACTTTGCACAGTAATACGAGCTTCACGGGCAGAAAGGGAGACTAAGAAATTTAAATTTAAGACATGTAACAATTGCTTGGCCAATGAGGAGCAAAGACCAGAATGAAACTCACATCTGACTGCAGAGCTCAGGCGCCTTCCTCTCTGTCAGGTCCTCTCTCCTAACTTCTCTGGGTCTATTTTCCCATCTACACTTTCCCATTCTAAAATTTTATGGCTTTATTCACTTGCCCTAACTCAGTGGACCCTAGAAATAGAAAATTCATAGCACCCACACGTGGTTGGCTATTTCAGTATACACTGTCTCATTAACGGGGAGTATTCCCTGTGAAAATGGGAAGAGCACAGCAAGAGCATATGTTTTTCACGGACTACTAATTTGACGTGTGAATTAATCAGGGCTATTCACTGCTCCCTGATTCCACCCACTTTTACACTAATACATAATTCATTAGTAGCAAAGGCTGATCACAGAGCAGAGCAAGGAAAAAATAGGGAGAAAAAAATACAAACTCCTTTAGCAATTAATTTATTAGCCTCTGGCCCAAAGCTCAGTCGGGGGGCTGAGGGATGACAGACAATACAACTGATCATGGAGTCAGACAGACCACCCCCTACTCCATTTTGTGAGTTCATAATTTGTTTGAAAATCTTCCTTCTAATCACTGACTAATAATGAATCGCACCACCTCCTGAGGTTAGACTTGCTGCCCACAGCAAGAAGCTCTTCCAACTAATTGGATTTATCTTTTCACTTGGCAGGCACTGTCAGTGGAAAGAGATGCACACACCCTGTGCGCATCAGAAGAAAGATTTCACATTGAGGATGAATAAGGCGAGCTGTCCCTCGGACACAGCCGCACAGACGAAGGTCCTGCCCACAAATGGCTTTTCCTTATTTGTCCAGATACGCGCTACTCCCTTTACAGGAAACTAGACTGGTAAACTGGCTAAAAGGGACCTTGAGCTTGTACTGTTATCTGTCAGTGTAAGCTGGGAGGTAAATCCCCCATTCTGGAGTCAGTCTGGGTTTGAATCTTGGCTCTGCCTCCACCTGGCTGAATGCTCTGGGTCAAGTTACCTCTCGCCTCTCTCTCTCTGCCTCATCTTTAAAGGGAACCTACCTGGTGGAGTTGTGACAACATTATATACATTATCCCCAGTGTTTGGGACATAAGTGCTCAATATACGTTTTCTCCATAATTAGGTAATGAATGCTGTAACACAGGCTGCATATGAAGCAGTTCTGTCTTAATTTTGAAGGCGCTGTCACTCTTTCATAACATGGCCCTCATCTAACTTTATAATACGGCACGATGTCCAACTTCTTTTTGCATCTCTAATTTCCAAAGCTGCCATGGGCATGTTCAAGGAAGAAACGGAGACAGATCTAGACCATCTCGCTGAGGGCAAAGTCCAGACTCTACCTATCTTCTGACTGACAACAGGGAGGAAAAGAAGGGCCTCCAGCAAGCATGAGACTCAGAGCAAAACAGATCGGCCACAGCGAATTTCCCAAAGTCTCACTCTTCTCCTCTCCCCTCTGTCTGAACAAGCCCAGGGTGGGCTCCTGAAAACCTGGCCGGTGTGAGCAGCAAAGGGGAAAAAACCCACCGTCCTACCTGTGTCATCACCACTGCCATCTCAAATGTCCCCACGGTGTCCATGTTGGCCACAATGATGGGAATCCCTGAGTAGGTCTGCTTCGAGTTTCGAAATGTGAAGGTGCGCTCAAGATCCACCTAACGGCAAAAAGGGAAAAGAAGTGCTGTGCTCTTTACGTGACTTGTGCAGAATTTCCAGGGTTTGGAGTGAGCGGGAAGAACACAAAGGAAGTGTATGCCCCTTGATCCCTGATTCTCTTAGGGGCTGGGCCAGGTGCTCCAAAGACGGGAGAGTTCCTGGGTGGTGATCCAGGTGGAAAAGCTGAGCGAGGCTCCTTGCTAACCCATCCTCAAGCGCCAGCACCAGGCAGTGGACATTCTGCCATCAAGCCAAGCCTCCGAATCGGCAGCTCTCTCCTTCATCAGCCTCTCCCATCCCACTGCCACCTTCTGTCCCAGCCTGGTTCATCCTAGCCCTTAACACTCACATACACGTTATCTTCCCCCCTTCCATGGACTGGAGAGATCACCCCCCTTCTGGGAAACTCTGCTCCACGCTTCCCTGTCAACCACGGCCCTCTCTTTAATCCTCACCTTCGAGAGAACCAGACACTCCAAATTCACCCTGCAGTGAGCTGCAAACCATTAATCCCTTAACCTTTCGACTCTCTTAGCTGTTTGGTAATCATGAGCATCTTTCAAAGAGCTGGGAGGAGGTATACTGCAGCCAGATGTCTATGCACATAAACACTTGTGCCTCTGACTTGTGCACGGCTGGAGGGAGGGCACTCCAATTCTATTGTAACTCCAACGTCAGGGCATTTATGACTAACTCAGCTATCAGGAATCCAGAACAAGAGCTGGCCTTGGTGGTGGGCTCAGCAAACGCAGTGTACTAGGGCCAGGCGCTCACCAGGAGATAGCACAGTCAGACACTTCCTTGACCCAGGGCAGATGCCAGGCCTGTATGCTCACAGATCCATTCATCACCCTTTTCTGCTCTGCTCTTACCACAGGGGGCCCATCTCCTGCAGGCTCCATTTTCCAGATTGGTTTCTAGCTGAGTTCATCCAATGGGGTCACTGGGTGGGAAACTGGAGGATAGTAGGGGTTGGGAGGAGAGCCTGAGTGTAGTCAGGGTAGTTCTCCAGACCCCCTCTGCCTTGGCCTGCATCATCTTGATTCCAGCTTTCACAGAATGATCCCAGTCCTTGGGCTCCAGGAACACCACCTCCTCCCTTTGGGAGTGGTTCCTCACTGCTGCCAATCTTTGCGCTGCCTCAATACCTCATCTGGCGTCTCCGCTATGTCAGGATGCCTTCCATTAAACTCCCCATTTTAAATACTCAGCACTGTTTCTTTCCTTGGCTGGACCCCAACAGACACAGGCCATTCCAGAAGTGGGTGCCTCCCCAAGGAGAACCGGCAGGAGGAACACAGGTGTGAATCTTATGGTTCTGAAACAATTTGGACCTACATAAATCTCAGCTCATGAGTACACCAGCAATAATCATTTCCTACCACTGTTCCAGATCCTTCTTTTATTCTTTATCATTTGAGACCACTTCCACTTTGCAATCAACATCATGTCAGAAAACACCATGAGACATCTCAGGCCTCTGAGCCATTTCACATCTCCTGCTTCTCCACACAGGGCTGCATGTCCAGAAGGCTTCCTGGGTGAGTGACGTCATAAATAGGACTGCACTGCCTTACACGGCAATCAGTGAGGGGAAATGAGATGCTGTTATTGCATGAGAATATGTGGCAGTTCAGCCCTTTCTCCACTTCTCTCATTATGATTCTTGGTTCTACTTCAGTGAAGCAAGTTATATCTGCATTCTGAAAGATAACTGAAGGGGTCTATTAGTTGCAATCTTCCATGCTGCTAATGGCCCTCTAACATTTTGATTTCACTGGCTTAAAATACTCCGAATTCCTTGGTCTCAAATTAATCTTATACTCCTCCCAAGATGCATGGGAAGAGCTGTTACACTCTGCACCCGGCTGAGCTCACAATGGGTTTTTCTTGGCACCCTAAAGCCTATCAACAGTACGCAAAAAACAAGCTCTTCATTGGAAAGGTCATCCTTGACACTGAACTCTTGCCTTTCATTTCTAGTCTTCTTCATACGGTAGATTCTACGCAATCCTTAATTCTAAGAAGGAAGTAAAATTATCTTCCATGACCTTGTCCACACAGAGAGAAAGACACACACACACACACACACACACACCCCCAAAATAGACTGGTTGTTCACTGAGATAGAGAAATAGTTTAAATATTCCAGCCTCCCAGGAACAGAACTTGGCACTTCATCTGCCACAGCTGGTCAAGGCACCAAATATAGCACCTCCAAATTCCCACTCTGCTAAGCCTGATTTGAAAGGGAACGTAAAGTAATAAACTACCCCTCCCACATCTCAAAAGTAAAGGTTTCTGCTTCTTTTAAACACCCTTCATTAAAGTCCGTCCTACAGCCCAACATGTGGGGGCTTGAAAGGACAAAGAGAGGCCCATCTACCACATTCTAAATATCTCAAGGTTATGAGCCAAGCTAACAAGCTGCTGCATAAACTTTCTTCTATCCTCCAACCTTGACAAACAATTTCATTAACGACCTGAAAAGCACCAGGACATGGCCACAGAGAGCCAGCCCTGGCTCCCAGTCCACACCCCCTTCTCTTCCCACCCAAATCCATATATGCACCCAGGGACACCCTAGACTGAACATAAAGCTCCATGCACACACACATCCATTCCACAAAGAGCTGCCACTTGGCCACTCTCTGAGGTTAGAGGTGAGCACCCCAGCAGCACGGTTGGCCCCTGGGGAAGAGGCCCTTGCAAGCCTTGGAGTCAGCTTGCAGTCATTTGGGAAATTCAGGATCCTGAGTGCCTGGAGCATGGCCTAGAGAGAAAGGCATAGCCCTCCAGCCCTGTCCAGCAAGGAGGGGACAGGGGCCCCTTTTGCCTAGATCTATGGATGGTACTGATTAAAGCAATTCTGTTATTAGATCATTCTTCATCTGTCTCATCTGTAGACTATAGTCTATAGGGACAATAGTTTTCATCTTTGCAGTCCTAGTGGCTCAAAAAGTGTGGAATCAACTACTGTCTAGCTAAGGGGTAAGAATGATACTGTGTTTTGACCCCCAGCCTTTTTCAGGGCAATGCTTGGTGGGCCGCAGCCCAGCCTTCTGGACATGCTCTGTCCCCTGGTAGCTTCACCATCAGTTGTCAGGATCCAGAGAAGCATATGCAGCTGTGCATTCCCAGAGAGCCACAGGGTTCCACAAAAGCAAAGGACCCCAGTGGCCAGTCCAGGGCATCCGTATGCACATCAGAATCATCATCGTAGGATGACGGCCAAAATACACACACTCAGGCTGCCCCAAATTTCATAAATCAGAACCTTTGTGTTGGAGACAATATATGTATTTTGGAGTATCTCCCTAGGTGATTCTTATGTATTAAGAACAAATTTATTCAAACCCTCTCATTTTACAGAGCAAAATTTACAAAGGCTGTTACGGTTTGAATTGTGTCTCCCTAAAAGGATTTTTTTTTTAAAGGTTGGCCCTGAGCTAACAACTGTCGTCAATCTTCTTTTTGTTTTTTTTCCTCTTCTTCTCCTCTCCAAAGCCCTTCAGTACATAGCTGTATATCCTAGTTGTGAGTGCCTCTGGCTGTGCTATGTCGGATGTCGCCTCAGCATGGCCTGATGAGAGGTGCCAGGTCCACGCCCAGGAGCCGAACCAGTGAAACCCTCAGCCACTGAAGCGGAGCCTGAGAACTTAACCACTCAGCCACGGGGCCGGCCGCACTAAAGGATGTTTTGAAATGTTAACCACCAGTACCCATGAACGTGACCTTATTTGGAAATAGGGTCTCTGAGGATGATCAAGCTTAACATGAGGTCATTAGGGTGGGCCCCATTGCAATATAACTGGTGTCCTCTTAAAAAGGGGAAATTTGGACATAAGACACACAGAAAGCAAGAATGTCATGTGAAAATGAAGGCAGAGATCCGAATGATGCATCTACAAGCCAAGGAACACCAAAGACTGCGTGTCAACAACCAGAAGCCAGGAGAGAAGCACGTAGTAATGGATTCTCCCTCACAGCCCTCAGAAGGAAAAGCCCTGTCAACACTTGATCTGGGAATTCCAGCCTCCAGAACCGTGTTTCTGTTGTGCAAGCCACCCAGTTTGCGGTACTGTGTTACAGCACCCCAGGAAACTAATGCAGAGCCAAGGGGGTACAATAATTTAGCGCAGAGCTTGGACTAAAACCCACGACTCCTTTCTCCCAGCCCAACATTCTCCCCACTCTGCCATGCTCTCTCTCATCACCCTGAGAACAACCTGCTGGGGATTGCTCAGGCTGCACCAGAACTTGCTGGAGCCGATCTGCTTCTCAATGGACCGCTGGTGAAAAAATTACTCCAGAGTTCTAAGACGACTGAAACTTGTTGTGTTGTGTCTTCCCTGTCCTAGGACAAGTAGCCAATCTCCTGCTGCAAATTCCTTCAGTGTCTGACTTCTAAAGTTATAGTTGCGTTAATAAGTTTGGTTTCTGTTTCTAATCTCACTAGGGTGGGATATCAGAGATAGAAACAGGTCCTGAGGAAGAAAACACTCAGAAGTTAAGGAATGGTGCAAGCTCCCCAGGTCTTGCCTCTATCAACAAACACGTCACTTCCTCTGAAAAGATTCCCCACTTGTCCCCACGCAGCCCTGTAGCACCTTCTTCTCGGGGACCAGGGGCTTGAGAAGACACGGGTAAATGCAATGGATGGACAGTGGAGAGATGACTGTCCATCTGGTACAACCATGTAAGGCCACCTGGGCCATCTCCACCTGTATGCTTTGCCTCTGGGAGTTGACCTCCAATCCATTTTATGTGAGACTTTGGGAATGCCCTTGCAGGAGTCCTAGAACTCCTGGGGGGGAGATCACTCTGCCTGGCTCTCCTTTTCCTGCTCACTGCCTGACGCACCATCACCAGGCCCGGCTCCTAGCAAAACCACTGGAAATGCTGTCAACAGTCAAAGCTTTCCCTTCCCAGCCAGACTCTGCTCTCACGGGGTACGTTTCCTCTTCTAGCTCAACTCCCATCAGCTCTCTGATTAGGCTCACAGATGGTCATTTACCACTTAGCTTCAAATCTGCTTTCAGGTATTACTTTTGCAGGGGACACACATTTTAGGCCTCCATCTGATTTGGCAAAGAAAAGTTTTTATGCCTGCAAGAAATTTCAGGCATCTGCAAGCACACAGAGAAAACACTGAGAGGGGATTAGGGGCCAAACAGATCTAGGCCTAACCAGATCCCTCAACATCACTGAACCAGCCAGGCAGCTGCCTCAGGCACCAGGAAGCTAAACCACGTGGGGAACCAACTGGAAAACCAATGCCAGTTAACTCAGGTTTCCAGGCACGGAGCTGGCAAACTCCCACAAAAGTCGAAACACAAAAACCTCTCTCAAGGGCACAGAGTTCCCACTGCGATGTGTACATGCAGACTGCCGGGTGCCATGAGAAGCCTAGACAACATTAATGGTGGCAATCAGCCCAAACTACGAGACCAAATGTGGTAGGACATCATGCTATTCCCTAGGAAGGGGTAATTCATCCGATTACACAAATTCTCAACGTTTTACCTTCTCCAGATGTTCCCTTGTTCAAAACATTTATATAATACAGCCTTGTTTTAAACACAATTTTTCTTAAAAATAAATTTCTCTCTGCCAAGTGAATTGTGAACAAGTAGTTTGTAGGGACCTGAAACTGGCCACCCCAAGATATGTCTCTTTGGCATCAGGATTATTTGAGGGTGATTGCTTTTGATAAACTGGGACAGGGAAGGAGGCTCTGAGGAATGGAACTTGCCCTTTGTTACGACACATTTACATTTGTAAGGTAAATCTCTATCTGTAAAATGTGCCTCCCTCTCTGTACCAGGAAGAAGAAAGGAGATGATGACCTTCTCTCTAGAAACTCTTAATCAATGCCAAAGGCAAAGACTTAAATCTGCATTTTATTGTGCTTGTCTGGTAATCTCCTGTAACTGACTTCCCTCCCCCTCCCAACGTTGGCATTTCTTTAAGGATTAAGCACCTTTCCTTAGGCTAGGACCTGATTGCTGAGCTCACCTGTGACAGCCCAGCTCCAGACAATAGACTTGCCTCCTGCTGTGTCCATCAAGCACTGTGCCGAAGGAACAATCTTGTGACTATTGTGGGAGGGACATTTCAATCATACGTGAAATATCCTGTTTGGGGGTATATAACCACTCTGTGCACCCCACTTCTTCGGTGTCCTTTCTTCCTTTGAGAAGAAAGGCCCCGGGCCATGGTTCCTCATAAAGCTTTGTTTAAATTTCTCTTGCTATTCTGTCTCATGTGAATTTAATTCGTTCTCCGGCCAGACGAACCCACATTTGGAAAGAGGAAACGTCTTCCTCCCCTACAATTTAAAGAATACTGAGGCCACCAAATTATTCGTCTGCCCAGAATCCTCACATCTTGTCTTGGTCAGGCCTTAGGTACCAGCTACTGTCTATCCTTCAGAGGCCCAGGGCCTGCCAACCTGTTTATTGTTCTTCCAAGAGTCCAGTCTGCCCAGCTCGTTAGCATCTGAAAGAACATGAAGGACAGGAACAGAGTGGTCCCATCCAGGGTGAGAAGGATTAAGCATTCCTGGCTTCTTCCAGTCCTGTCTTGTCCCAGCCTCTCTGGCTCCACCTGCGTGAGAAGGTGACTTGCTTCTGGTCACTGGCGAAAGCAGGCTTCTTTAACCCAAACAAGCCCTTGGCTGGCACCGCCAGGCACTGCAGCCAGGCCTGGGCAGAGGCCAGCAGCGGAGTCCCTTGCAAGGGGATTTATTTACGGTCTTGTGGTGTGGGGCCTATGGAGCAGTGGGTGGCTCCGCCTCCTTCCGTTTACTCCAAAGGCCTCAGCCTCCAGATCGAGTCCAGCTCCCTCCCTTCTTCTCCAGCTCTCAGCAGACCAGGGAAAGTCACTGTCACCAGCATACACTACTCCAGGCAGCTGTGCCTTTCTGTGCATCTAGTTAATCCTTCAGAGTTCGACCTTCCTCCTCCCCAGTAGGGGCATCCTTGCCCCACCCCCACCGCCGGCTATTTCCAGTCCAGTCTCCACCTGTTCCTCAGGCTTTGCTCTCATCAACGAAGAGCCAGCAGAACAGTCCGGGGTAACCAATTCAGGCCCCACCCCCACGCCTGCACCCCAGTGCTTTCAGCTTCCCTAGGACTGGGCTGGACTGCAGCTGTCCAGTAAGTAGGGTGCCACCAGGCAAAGTCCCCAGCCTCACTCTCAGCAAAACCACTGAAACGTCGAAAGTAAACTCTGAACTTTTGCCCTAGAATTACGTGTTTTTTAAACATTTTAAAGAAATTGCATTACTGGACCTGATACGAAAGCAGCAGCAGCTCTCTGCACTAAGAGACACTACCAAAATCACAAGGACCTTTAGTTGTTTTTCCTCTCCGTCCACTGTGTCCTTTTCTCCCCATAGGGGCCCCTCCACCAGCGCCCTCCACCACCAGCCACTATTTCTTGATCACTTGGCCACTTGATCTTTGCTCCTCTGTGGTCTAGTTCTAAGGTGTACTCGCCTTTGCCCACCCCAACAGGACACATTTAGAATTTTAGGCCAGAGCTGGGCCCCTTAAAGACACCTCCCGTCCTGGCAGGGAACCCGCTGGCTGTCCCCTTTCTCAGGCGGTGGGGAGGGAGAAGGCCAAGGGGGTGAGCACCCTACCCATCTTCAGACACACAGAAAAGCTGGCAAGCTTCCCACATACCACCGCCTCCCACCTCCCTCCCCCGCGCCACACGGAAAAGAAAATCCCCCCACCCTTGAGCCCCCTCACCTCGGCTCGGCTCTTGAGGCTGCTTCGCTTGGGTCGGAGGAGGACATCCTTGAAGTCCAGCTTGAGGTCTGCATCGACGCGGGGCATGGTGCCGATCGGCGCGCTCGGCCCGGCACAGCCGGAGCACGCAGCTCCTTCCCGCAGCACCCGCGCCGGGGCGGAGGCGGGGGCGACCGGGTCGCGGGGATGGGGGTGGGGGACCCCGGGGCGAGGGGGGGTGGCCCGCCGGCGCGGGCCGGGAGGGGCGGGGCGCCGACGTGCGGTGGGGCGGAGCGGGGAGGGGCCGGGGAGCGCCGTGCGGCTGCCGAGCGTTGGCGGGCGGCGGGGCGCGCACGCTGCGCTCTTAAGGCGGCCGGCCCGCCCCCAGCCGCGCTCGGCCCGCCCCCAGCCGCGCTCGGCCCGCCCCCGCGCTCCGTTGGCCAAGGCCAGCCCCGCGCCCCAGCTCCGGGCGAGGGAGCAGCAGTGGACCCGGGAGGGTGCGGGTGGGCTCATTGCCGACCGAACAGCGGCTGAGCGCTCGGCGCGTGTGATGTTTTTCATACGCTTCCCCCGCCGCGCGTTTACAGCCTTGCTCCTTGCGGTGGCCGAATTGGCGGGGAGGAGCGGGGAAGGTACACCGGCTTGTGTGTCACCGAGGTCCCCCATAGGGAGGAGGCTTGGCTTGTGACCGCCTTACTCAAGGGAAAAGGCCACTGCTTGAGAGGTTTCGCTTCTCCCTTCTCTCATTTCAAGCCCAGTGTGCCCACCAAGTGCTGAATCAGACGTCTCCCCTAAAATAAGAAACCCCAGGGAAGTTGGATAGAATTAAGGAAAAGAATGTGGACCGGTAAATCTATTTAGCAGCAATGGGAATTGAGGCAATTTTTGGATCCCCTTTGGATTTCAGGGGGTGGGTTGTTTGAATAAAAGCAATGAACTCTATAGTCAGTGCACATCCTGGGATTTGGGGGACCTGAGTCCCCTCTAACGGTTAACGGTGATGTCAATTTATTTTTAATTCACTTGCTGACCCCACGCAGCCTTTGTTGTGTATTAGAAATGCGCTTAAGTGTTCAGCCTGCACCTTCTCATTCGCTCTCAGAACAACCCAATGAGGAAGGAGCCGTTTTGCAGATTAAAAAGAGGCTCGTGTAAATGAAATAACTTGCCCAAGGTCGCAGTCAAGTTAAAAAGTCTCTTCTGTCCTTAGAACTTGCTACAATCTTAACTAAAGCTGCTATTGTCCTGGGACCTCTCTCTGCCTGGGTTCAGAACCTGGCTCCGCTGCTTTCTATCTTGGGGACCGCGAGGGAGTCACTTGATTACCCTCAAGGTCAGTTTTCTCGTAGTTTAAAGGAGCAGGGAAGAAAAAGATAATGCTATCCTCTCCAAGGCTTTTGTGAGGATTAAACTGTGTGTGTATGTGTGTGCGTGTGTGAGTGCACATGTCCCATAGTTGCTCAATAAATGGTAGAGGTCACCTTACATCATGCGCTTTATGATTTATATCCTCAAACGAGATTACTGACTGCACAAAGGCAAGAATAATCTCTCATTTTCTTTCAGTTGTCTGCAGCCTCCAACTGTTCTCAGTGAACTCGTATTGGGTATGGCTGACCATAAAGAGACAACACAGTATTCGTTTAACACAAATGTCTGCAAATGATAAAGGTCTTAGCCCATCCCACTTGCTCACATCATTTTTGCCCCACAGGAAGTGCTTGAAGTTTCGCGGAAGGAAAGGAAACTTATCAGCGAAAGAATGAAAGTGACCACAATTAGTCGGACCAACGAAGTATTTATGAACCTTCTCACATAGTTGGGAGCTCACCACATGTGCTGCTTTTTCCCCCCAGAATACTACCTCTCCTCTTGGTTTCTTCCCCACTCCCTTTCTATTAGAATAGAGACAGAAGCTCACTTTACACATTTCATTCCTTCTCCTTCTGGAATGTTCTGTGATACCTGCTCTCTTCTCAGGCACAAAATCATAGTCCTACAGAGTCAGCGTGAGTCCTTGATTCTCTGGCACCTGCCTTGACTCCTTTAAACGTCCATTGCACCTTCTACATAATCCTGCTGTATTTCTCATTACACTAATAACAATAAAGTCACCTGTCAGTACAAGGAAAAGTTCTGACTGACTAGACAGAAAAAGCCATAGAGTAACCGCAGGCCCATTTAGAAACAGTTCAAACAGACCCCAGGTTGTCTTTCAGAAAAACTGTAAAGTCACGTAGCCAGAGCATGCGTAAAAGGAGAAATTGTGACCTGAAACCACCTCGGAACCAAAGCTCCTCCTTCCCACAGAACCCAAGGACAGGGACACGACTGGAACTTGGAAGTTGGACTCTTATCAGAAGCGAGGGGTCCCTCATTCAGGAAGATACGGTGTTAAAATTCCTTCCCCACCTCATCAAAAATGTTAAGAGCCCCATCATAAAAGTTTAGAACCTCATCATAAATGTTCAGAACCCTGTCATAAATATTTAAAACCTTATCATAAATGCTTGAAGCCCACCAACCAAAACCTGTCCCACCAGCATTTCCACATGCCCACCTGTTCTCCCTAACCTCTTAAATTTTGCCCCAAATCCTGAACTGGGGAGACAGATCTGAGGGCACACGCCACCTGTCCCGCTGCAGATGGATCTAGCAGAATAAAGCTGATTTTTCCCCCAAAAGCTTCTGCCGTAATTAATTGGTTTTTATTCATGCGCATCAGGCAAGAGAACCCCAATTTTGTGAGGTAACAATAGAAGATATTCAGAATCCTACATGTTAACACCGTATGGTCTAAGGGTAGAGAGGTACCAAAATTACATGGGAAGATAACCTCCAAAATTATATGAGATAGGGGCCAGCCCAGTGGTGCAGCAGTCAAGTGCGCACGTTCCACTTCAGTGGCCAGGGGTTCGCCGGTTCGGATCGCGGGTGCAGACATGGTACTGCTTGGCAAAAAGCCATGCTGTGGTAGGCATCCCAAATATAAAGTGGAGGAAGATGGGCACGGATGTTAACTCAGGGCCAGTCTTCCTCAGCAAAAAAAAAGAGGAGGATTGGCAGCAGTTAGCTCAGGGCTAATCTTCCTAAAAAAAAAAAATTATATGAGATAAAGCCCACCTGGCCTTGTGCATAGTCTTTTTGCATATTAATGAATTCAGTTCGCTAATATTTTGTCGAGGATTTTTGCATCTAAGTTCATGAGGGACGTGAGTCTGTAGTTTTCTTTTCTTTTGATGTCTTTATCAGGGTAATAGTGGCCTCACAGAATGAGTTGGGAAATGTTCCTCACTCTATTTTCTGAAAAAACTTGTATAGCATTGGAGTTAGTTCTTTAAATATTTAATAGAATTAACCAGTGAGCTAAAATTACGTAGGAAAATAGTTTATTTTTAGTAGATAAGAGTCTCTCAAGACCCAGAAATAATGAAAATTAAGTATTAAAAAGTTGGAGATAATTCAAAATTATGCTATTTGATATTGTGGGAATAAGAAAGAATTTGTGCGCATTTGACATTTTGTGCATTTGAGGAAATTTGTACCGTTGGACTAACAGAACGACCTTCTAATGCCAATTCAAAATGTGTATTTAAGTAATTGGTTTGAACCTATGAGAAGAAAGTGAAATCTATTAAATTTATGTAGATTGTCAGAACATTTAAGAGAACAGGTTTCACATACAGTATTTATAAAAGTTAGTAAATTACTTCAGGAAGCTCAGTTAGGCAGTGAGTTTACTGCTTTACTATGCAGAATAATTGGTGGGAACCTTGCGAAATGCAGATTGTGCCTCAGTAGGTCTGGGGCGGGGTTCTGCATTTCTTTAGCATGCATAATAATCACTGGGCACCTTGTGAAAAGGCAGATTTTGCTGCAGCAGGTCTTGGGTGGGGCTAGAAGTTTTGCATTTCTAACAAGCACCTAGATGAAGCCAGGTTCCAGGGACCAGGCTCTGAGGAGCAAAGCAACAACTGGGTACTTAAAAAAGGAAATCTAATTGATTGTATTTATAAATGCAGTTTCAAGTATTTGAAAGTATTTAAGTTTGTAAATGGGACTGAGTGATATTCAAATGCCTTTTAAAGGTGATTATTGCAATTTGCTAGACTTTCAATAAAATTTTTAAGTAGTCTGCATAACCTTAACAAAGAAACAAATTTTTTTCTTTACTTTCTTTCTTTCTGTCTTTTTTCTTTTTTTGGTGAAGAAGATTGACCCTGAGCTAACATCTGTTGCCAATCCTCTTTTTGCTTGAGGAATATTGTCACTGACCTAACATCCGTGCCCATCTTCCTCTATTTTATACATGGGACACCCCCACAGCATGGCTTGATAAGCAGTATGTATGTCCACGCCCAGGATCTGAACCCGAAACCCCTTAGCCGCCAAAGCAGAGTGCATGAACTTAACCACTATGCCATGGGGCCAGCCCCAAGAAACAAATTTTTACATTTTTACTTTTGGGGCTGGCCCCATGGCTGAGTGATTAAGTTTGTGCCCTCCATTTTGGCGGCCCAGGGTTTGTGGGTTCGGATCCTGAGTGCAGCCCTACACACCACTCATCAAGCCACGCTGTGGCTGCGTCCTACATGCAAAATAGAGGAAGATTGGCACAGATGTTAGCTCAGAGCCAGTATTCCTCACCAAAAATGTAAACAAATAAAAATAATAATAAAATAAAACATACAGAGAATAAATTACAAATTGCTAGTTCGGAAAAGATACCATGCTGTAAGGTATTGGATTACCAAAATATAGCAAATATTTATGGTCACATTCCAGTACGTATTCCTTGACAGAAAAACAATGAAAGATGAAACAAAAAGAAAGTCACTTACTCTATTCCTTTGGGAAGCTCTTTGTTTTACTTAGCCCATCTAAACAAATGGAAGCGAGTGAACATGGTTTTTAGCAGAGTTGTTGTCCATCAAGTTCTTTAAGCGTGAACAGCTGCTGTACACAGGCCAGATATCGTACTCCTGAATGAGAAAGTCGATGACAGGTGTAAAAATTTATCATAACAGTAGCTAGCATTTGTTGAACAATTACTATGTTCTAGACATCCTATTAAGTTTGGCGTATATTACCTCATTTAATCCTCAAACAACCTTATGCATTTGTGGGGGATCAGAATTGGCCACCCCAAAATGTATCTCTTTGCCCTGATTATTTTTTTTCTTTTTTTTTTTCTTGCTTTTTTCTCTCCACCCCCCCCCCCC